ACTTCTGACCTCGCAGCCAGAGGATATAAACGGATCACTAGTGACTGCTCTGATGGGCAGAGCAAGGACAAACTGCAGTGGCCTAATTCTCTTGCTTGAATAGGTCTAAAACTTGGGAGACAGACCCTGGGCCTCGTAATCAGTCTAGCCTGGTCAGCATGCTCCAGGCAAGTTAGAAACCCCGCCTCAAAAAACCAAGTCAGGGAATGGGCAGCGACAAGGCTCTGTGAGTAAAAGTGCTTGTGCCTAACCATGGCAACCTCTGGAAATCAACTCATAGGCACTGTTAGATGTATGTCTTCTACGTAATTCTTGACCCTATAAAGGTAACAAACAAGATTAACCATTAACTTCAGGCTTCCACACATCAATGCACACACACACCTTCACATGAGCACCACATATATGCACATACATGTACAGCACACATGGTAAAACATTTTACCCCCAGAGAAGCCAGCATGGTGGCTCACACCTGTGATCCAAACACAGAGTGATGCCTTCTGGGGTGAGGGGAAGTTTAGGGGTGATGGTGGGAAGAAGTTAGGCTGTGGGTTAGAGCTGTGGTTCAAGGTAGGACAGGCAGGGTGAGGTTGGGTTAGAACTTGTAGACAGGGCAGTTTGAGGCTCAGGTTAGCCTTGCATCTGGGTGGGTCTGTGGCCCCATCAGTGATGAGGAAAACCTGTGAGGCCCTCAGTAAGGTTGGGTGGAGGGCTCCTCACATAGGGAGCTGAAGCCTTGCTTGATCTTCTTGTCGATGATTTCATCCACGGAACACAGTGACCCACTGGAGCCCAGCAAGCCCGGGACAGGGAAGAGGAGGAAGAGAAGTGAGAGGTTTTTCATCCTGTAGGTTCTGCAAGAGACAACCAAGAGCCCCGCCTGAATCCAGCCCCTTCCCGTGCTGGAGAGAGCCAGACCACAGGGATGGACATTCAGTTGCCCTAGGTCCCCCACATCCGAGCTCTGACTAGGGGAGGGCTGTCACTTACTGTGGCAGTGGACTCAGCGAGACACAAATCAGTTCTGGGCATGAGCCCCTGTCCCACAGCTCCTTCTTGTAGACATCTGGATGTGGCCCATCCTGCCTTGGGTAATAAGTCCCTTGGTCCCTTGCCCTCATTGCCACATCTGGGACAAGAGGACCAGACTCTAGAGGTCCCAGAGCAGGGACCTCTCTCCTGCACAGTCCTTCCTGCATCAGCTACTGCTTAGGAGGCGATGTCTGGGGAGCTATACCTCCAGCCCCTCAGGTGAACTGTACACAGGTGGTCGGTCTACTGTGGAGCCACACTCCCAGCAGAGGCTCACTGGGGAAGTGTAAGCAAGAGCTCTCCATAGAGCCACGCCCCCAGCCCCTCCCAGGAAGTTCCAGGAAGTCACTCTACCATCAGCCATCACCTGAAGCTCCTCACTGGGGGATTCTAGTTAGCTCTACTGCTGACCCCCACACAAGTACACACACCCCTTTTACATCTGACCTGTGGTTCTTTTCATTTTTATGGCCCTCACACATCAATAACAGAACTGAGTAGCTGTAACAGATGCCATGACCACGGAACCAGGTAACTTTACAACTGACCTTTAAAAGGAAATCTCATGGGCTAGAGAGATGATGACACAGCCGTTAAGGGCACTAGTTTCTCTTCCAGAGGACCCAGGTTCAATTCTCAGCACCCTCATGGCAGCTCACTACTCTCTGCAACTCCAGTTCCACTGAATCTGGCACCTTCACACTGACATACAGATGTGTAAAACACCAATGCACATAAAAATAAATAAAATTTTTAAGAGAAAAACAAAACAAAAAGGGTCTCTAGAATGCCTGCAGATGGAGGCCCGCCATCTAAAGTAGCTGTGGTGATAGCAACTAAAGTCACATTGGCACCGAAGCTATGTGGAAAGGAAGACTCACGCCACCTGAACCCACTTACACTAAAGAGGAAAGAGAGGAAGCTAGGGCAGAAGATATGGCTCAGTGAGAGTGCTGGCACACAGGAAATCCTCTGCTCAGTCTCTAGCACCACAAAAACCATGCATCTGGGAGTAGAGGCAGGAGGTCAGGAGTTCAAGGTCATCCTTAGTTCACAGGTCACTCTCTTTTTTTTTTTTTTTTTTCTTGTTTGTTTTTGTTTTGTTCTGTTCCATTCTGTTTTTGAGACAGGGTTTCTCTGTGTAGCAGCCCTGCTGTCCTGGAACTAGTTCTTGTAGACTTGGCTGGTCTTGAATTCACAGAGAGCCACCTGCTGGGATTAAAGGCTTGCACCACCACACCACACCGGGCCCACAGGTCAGTCTTGGAAGTCAATGATTATTAAGAATCTTTTTTTTGCCCGGTTGTTATAATAAAGCATATGGGGGACCTTGGTAGACCCCATGGCAAGGTGAGGGACAAACATGTCGGGCAAACAGAGCTTAAGTGGGAAGTTTTATTAGAAGGTGGAAGGGGAGGGGATAAAAGAGGTAAAGACACAGAGACAGAGAGAGGACAGAAGAGAAGAGGGAGACAGGGAAAGTCCTGTCTGCCCCAGGGGAACAGCAGGAAAGAGAGTAAAGTGTGTGGGGTGGGGGATGGTGGGAGTCTTTCTTTTAAAGACCCAGGGTATATAAAGACCCATGAGCAGGTGGGTGAGAGGCAGGGCCAGGTTTGTCTGGATCACAACACAGTTTACATCAGTGAAAATTTCTACTGGTCTCAAAACAAACAAAAACAAAACAACAACCAAAAGGATAACTGTTGCTGAGTATGGTGGTGCATGCCTGTAACCTGAGCATGCTGGAGGCTGTGAATCAGGAACCTTCTGCAAGGCTGATCCACTGATTAGAGAGTCTGGGATGGTGGAGAGGTTGGTGTGTTACAGGTCCAGAGCTTAATTACAATTTATGTTGGGTTCTCTTTATGAAGATAGCAACTGGCAGAACACTAGGGTCCAGAAACCGAAACACTATCATCAGATGACCTCTGAGGCCTGTAGCAGAGATTTCTCCACTTTGACACCTGCCTACCTGATGTCTCTGCCAATGTATTTGACAAGTGTTTTGCATCTACCACTATCTAATAACACCCACCCCCAAAAAAAAACAAAACGTAGTTACATATTTTTTAGTCTGGCCAGATATATGTATCCCAAGATGGTTTTGAACTTGAGGCAATCCCCCTGCCTCTACCTTATCAGTGTAAACACACAACTCACACTTCAAAAGAGATAAGAAAAGATAGTTTATTCTGGAGGCAAATTATCAATGGCCATAGGGGGGGACACAGATTTATGTCCCCCAAATTCTATGTTCTGTCTATGAAGTCTTCCTAGTGCCATAACAAAAAGTCAGAAATCAACACACTGGGGTGGGAAGAGTTGACTAAAACGGAATCTTGAGGGCCATTTAGTAGAGTTTAAAATGAAAAGCGCACGGGCAAACGGTAGGTTTCAGGGCAGGCAAGGTGCCCGAAAACAAAGACAATAAGCTGTCATGGAGGTCAGCCACACATGGTAGGGGCTGGAGCGTTAGGAAAAAGCTAAGGAGCCCAAGCTAGACGGTTAGGGAATTTAACAGCATACTCAGACTATGGCCATCATCCTAAAATAAAAGGAAGGAAAGGCGGGGCAGGGGGGGGGCGAGGGGGAGGAGAAGAAGGGAGGGGGCAGGGGGTATAGACTCGGCTGTACCTAATTAGCTCAACCTGTGCTGGGGGAAGAGGAATTACATCTTCTGAAGGTGAAGCCGCCTTCCCACGGGTGGTCCCTTGCCAGGACCCTAATCTGCCCCAATGCATACCTTTTTGGGAGGAGACAAGGATGGTCCCCACCTAGAGAAAATCATCGCCACAGCAGCGCGTGTGGGACATGGTGGGACAGGGGAGGGTGCGGGAGGGAAGTGGCGGCGGGGGGGGGGGGGGGGCGGGCGCGGAAGGTTCCAAGAAAGCATCCTGGTGGAGGAGACGAAGGGATGCTTCTCTGGGTGAAGTAACGACAGACACTCTTGTGGAATTGGGATGAAGAGTCCTTCCCCACTGCGCATGCACCAGGACCCGAGTTTGCAGCTGTGGGGTTAGGCACGCCAGCCGGGAAGGAGACTGTGCAGAATGCGTGGGGAGCCCCCTCCACTTGTATGCTCTGGCACTCTGAGCTGAGCTGCTCCAGGACCGGTGCCTTGAGATCTTCCCTCACCCCCCCCCCCCCAGAACAATCCAAAGCTGATAGAATGAGAGATGCAACTGAGATGCACAGAGAAAGACCGGTGCAGTCAGGGCTGGGGTCTCACCGAAACCCCGGTGCCCCGGGTGCACCATTCACAAGTGCTTTGAGTCGTAAAAAGGGTGCCAGGAAGAGCTCGAGTCCTAGGGGGTAGCGAGGGGTGGGGAGATGGAAAGATGCACACCCAGACTGTTCCGGAGAGCAGCCGCAAGAGGGCGTGCATATCTGCCGGGCTAAACATGCCTCTGTGTGTGTGTGTGTGTGTGTGTGTGTGTGTGTGTGTGTGTGTGTGTACACTGTTTCCGTGTGTGTGTGTGTACACTGTTTCCATTTCCTGGCTATTATGAGTAGAGCAGCAATAAGCTCTATTCTATAATGCCTTGCATGGATGTATAAGTGTCTCTGTGGTAGGATATAGATTCCTTTGGGCATTTTTAATTTTTACTTTAGTATTTGTGTGTGTGCATGTGCCATGGTATGTGTGTGGGGGTCAGAGGTGATTCTCTTCTCCCAGTGTGTGGGTCTCAGGGATGAAATTCAGGCAAGGCTCAGCCAAGTGCTTTAAATTCTGAACCAGCTCACTGTCCACCCCAACTTGTCTTTTGTAGCCAGAGCTGGCTTTGAACTCATAATCCTCTTACCTCAGCCTCCCAAGTGATGGAATTACAGCCTAGCTGCATCATACCTGGATTACAGCACTGAGTGTTTTGTCCTATGCCCAAATCCGAGCCCTAAATCCAGTCTCCTTACCATGTCCTCAAGCTCTGTCCCACAGGGAACTCAATAACAGCTCTAGAGTCATATCATTTCTCTTGGCATTTACCTTCATGAGTCATAAAATACAAGTGCAGGAATTAACGGGTACATTTCTGTACATGCTCTGAACACACAGGTAACACAGTCAAGAACACTAGCAATGACCCACCCCCCAAGGCACCACAGTACATCCCAGGGTGTACATTAACCCAACACTGCAGTGACACACACACAAATAGCCAAATGCACACATGCACATTCAACCTAATGTGGAGACACATCCCACATGTCACCTACACCCACACTCACAATGACATACTTTAGAGGCTTCATGGGAACAGCTATTCACCAGGACACGCCGATCATCATATATGTCCAGGCCATACACCTATGTTGCCCATAAAAAGTAACACATGCTGGGCGTTCCATGTGCTCTTTTCATCATATCACCTTCCCCTTGGATACATGGAAACTCCATATGCCACAAAATGTTCCCCTACATACACACTCATTCCCCTGGATGGATGGTTTTCTCGATGCAGATGAATGGCAGACTCACACTCAAGCTGAGTACCCCCATTTGCCATCTTCACTAGCAGGTGCAATCCCAAGTCCTTCAGGTGTGTCTGTGCTGGCCTCTTATTTACTGAGGACTGGGCTCTGTCAGAGGGGAGAGACCTGAGGTCAGGCAGACCAGCATGAGGTCTGGAACTCCACCCCAGTCCACCTCCCTGGCCCTGGCTTACAAGCAAGCGCTTTCTTCTCTAGTGCCTCGAGAGATTTCTTGATTCCGGTTATATCTGGTGGGAAAGAAGAGACAGGCAAATCTGGGGTGGGGCTGCAGACAAAGCCCTAATATCATTAGCAATTTCCAGTTTGAGTGAAATAGATTCAGATATTGGAGGTTCACAGTAGTGGAATGGTGTGTGTGTATGTGTGTGTGTGGTGTGTGTGCCTGTGTATATGTTCATATGTGTTTGCAACTTGTGTGTGCAAATATGTGAAAAGGTCAGAAGCTGACATCCGCCAGCTGTTTTACTTTAGGACTATCTTTCTTGTTTTTGAAACAGGGTCTCTCATTGAACCTCTCCCTTTTAGCTAGACTAGTTGACCAGTAAGCCACATATATCTGCCTATCTCTACCACCACCACCCTTGTCCAACCGTTGGGGTTATGGACCAGTGCCACCATGCCCAGCTCTTATATGAGTCCTGGGGACCTAAACTCTGGTCCTCATGTCGTACTTTACTGAGGCCACCTCCAGAGCCCCATCATTGTTTAAACACCCTGCTCCTTGAACTCACAGGAAACATCTATTGCTCCCTTCCTGGTACAGAGAGCAGGGCCCACCCACCTCCTCCCTGAGTAACCAGCACCCCATTTGTTCTGTACATCCAAACAAATTCACCCAAAGAAGCCAGGCCTGCAAGGGATACCTGATGGCACAGTCTTCAGCTTGTCATTTCCGCTCTGCACTTGGCTCAAGACCATGGCAATGTTATTCTTGGCCTCCTGGATGACCCTCTGGACAGCTTTCCAATAATCCCTTTCCTGATTCTGGCAGTTCAGCACCATGCTTGAAACTAAAGGCATGGATTTTGAGATGTTAGGGTGGCCACGTCTCTCCTACCCCTACCAGTACCACCTGTAGGCCTCCCCTGCACTTCCCACTCACCGTTCGAAAGCCCCCCTCTCAAGCTCCACAGCTCCCTGGACATTTCAGAATCTGATTAGGAAAGGATAGGAAAGCTGTTAAGTCCCTATCCCCATTCTAGCCTTCTTGGAAATGGAGTTGAGGGAAGGGAACTGGTGGAAATTCCACAATCCCATCCCAGCTCCCAGGATGACTTACTTTTGACCAGGACCAAAGCAGAGAGGATGATGCATGATAAAAAAATGAGAGCGAGGAGGACATACAAGATCATGATGGTTCTGTGCAACCAAGGTGGGATCTGAGACGTAGCCAGTGATGTCTTGAACTGGGCTGGGACAGAAATACAGGACATGTGAGCTGCAGAGCCCAACCCCACCATCCAAGCCATCAATTCTGTCTGTAACACCTATAGCCAGCATCAAGGACCATCAAGGACATCCCCAGTCAGTCAGCATCAGTACTACCAACTTGTATTTTCTTTTGTTTTTGATTTGTTTTGTTTTTCCAGACAGGGATTCTCTGTCTAACAGCCCTAGCTGTCCTGGAACTAAATTAGCTCTGTAGACCAGGCTAGCCTTGAACTAACAGAGATCCTCCTGCCTCTGCCTTCTGAGTGTTGGGATTAAAGGCATGCACCATCACTGTTCAGAAACTTGTTTTCTTTACATTGTGACCCTCACATCCCTCTTAACAAATTCTGTCACCAAAATATTAAAAGCACAGCCAACGGCAGCACCAGAAACATTGTCAGAAACCCCACTCCCATTATCTTACCTACAAAGCTACCCCCACCAAAGTGCCATCACAGGAGAGAGGATAGGGTATCCTCCTCTGTCACTCTCTACCTATTTCTTTGGGACAGAGACTCTCCTGTTTATTCAGTGAAGCTGGGAACCAGCATGTCACAGCGATCCTCTTGTTTCCACCCTCAGAGCAGGGTTACAGGCATACACAGGACAGCTGGTTTGTCCTGTGGGTACTGGGATCTGAACTCTTTGTGTCACGTTTAACCACTGAGTGATCCACCTCCCCAGTCCCACAATCTAGTTCGTTAGTTAAGGTTTCCCACACCCCAGGCTAGCCTCCAACTCTCTATGGAGCCTAGAATGACCTTTAACTTCTGCTTTGCCCTCCCAAAGTCTGAGATAATAGGTGTGCACCCACACCCAGTTTAGACAGAGCTGGGGATTGAACCTGGGAGCACTCTACCAACTGAGCCACAACCACAGCTGCTTGGCCACCTTTCACCAACACCACACTCCCCAGCACTCGCCCCGTCCACATACTCCCTAAGTTTGGAGTGGAGTTGGAAAGCAGCTAGCTGTCTGCTCACCTTGTCTCGTGGGTGCCGATTGATTGAATTTGAGCTGGTCCTTGTTCCTGAAGGCCAAGGTTATATTCTCATAGTCAGGATTGTGAGCACCTGTGTATGATTTGGTGAGAGGAGATGCTGAGACTCATCCAGATACTTGGAGAGTTCGTGGGGGAACTCAATCTAGGGGATTATAATAAAGCAGGCATGAAGAACAAAAATCAGCTTTACGATTGAGCAGTGCAGGAACTGTGAGCCCATTGAAGGAAGGAACTCTTCTGTCCTGAGGGCTCCCACCTCAAGCTCCTTCAGTACCCATCTCACCTCTAGTGTCCTGACCTTCATTATGGCCTGGCTTCCTCCGGTTCTTATCCTGGGAGGCTGATGCCTGCATTCTGCTTGGTTGATTCAAGTAGATTAGCACAGCTTTGGGCCTGGACCTCCCAAGTGTCCACACATCCCCACCTACCGGAAGGCATCAAGACAGATGGAGAAATCTGGTGGGGAGGGGGGTGAGGGGAGAAGGCTTTGTTTCCTCCTTTCAGGGATCCACACCAGATCTCCTGCTTAGAGGCATCTTCAGCTTCCACATCAAGAGAGTCTTTAGAGTGATCCAAGAAGGGACCCTACATGTGGGAACAGAAGAGAGGTTTTTGAGAAAGCCAGAGGGTCTGGGTGGAAGACAGACAGATGGAATGTGCCTGACTTCATCACATACCCTGAAGGTGGGGGGATAGACAGGAACAGAGGACAACCCCAGCTGTGGATCCTCAGGCAATGTCACCTTGTTTTTAAGGCAATATTTCTCACTAGCCTGGAGCTCACCAAGCAGGCAAGGCTGGCTGGCCATCAAGCTCTAAGGATCCCTCTTTCTACCTCCCCAGATGGATTACAGTGGTGCCCAACATGACCAGCTATTCTTCCATGTTTTCTGAAAACACACACACACACACACAAGCTGTATCAACTCAGAATCTGGCTTTTAGAACAACAACTGAGTTCTGCCCCCACACAACACCTTCCCTCCCTCTCCAGCCCCACTCCCTAGTTCAGCTCTACCCTATCCAAGTTCTACTTTTCTTGTAAGCACCACATGTTAACCGATTGCACCACAGGAGCCAAGCTCACACTCTGAACACCAAGAAGAGCAAAGCGGATGTGAGGCAAGAAGGGAAAACCACGTTGGCACCACACCTACATCTCATATCCTTAACAGCTGCCCCCCCATGCAGTTCTCAACAGTATTCTCCCCACCAGAAGAGAAAAGGCACTCACTCCATCTATCTGCTCCTCTACCTGGCCCCACACATGCATACATGCACATTCAAACCTCCAAATGCCTTTGGTCATAGCTCCTGCATGTATGCCACACTCCCATTTGCATTATTTTGTAAGTGTTACTTCCACATGAATATGTGTACACATTTGCATATTTAGTGTGTCTGTATCCTACCTGGTGTCTTAAGTTTTTTTCTTTTTTATTAATTAAAAACAATATTATTTTGCATACCAATCCCAGTTCCCTCTCCTTCCCGTCCTCCACTCCCCACCCCCTGCTAACCCCCCATCCACTCCTCCTAGAATCCTTACTGACTAGTGTTCATGGCACTGGAAGGTACTATGCCTGCTGCCAAAGAAGAAGAGGAACCACTAACCCAGCTACAAGCCCTGTGACACACAACAGTGACCTTCCTGAAAGATGGGATGGCACAAACATGGTAGGAATAACCAACCAACAACTATCTGATTGGCTTTGAGGCCGACACCATGAGATGGTACCCTTGTCTAACACTGCTGCGGTGGCCATGGGCCTGGGGAAAACTGAATACTACTGTTATGATAAAGGAAGCATAGCAATAAGATGTCTCTGTTGTGCCTATGGGTTTCCTCAACCTCCCAGGAAGTGACGCCCGACTGCAAAAGCAAAAGGTTTTTATTGCTAAGAACTGAACCGGCTGGAACCAAACTCTATCAGAAGAGTAAGACACCTGCTTACAATTGTGAAGGGTTTTTAAAAGGGAAAGGGAGGCTTAAGATGGCTAGTCTCAGATCACAAGGTTTTCAAGGTTACAGACATTTCATAGAGTACAAAGTTTCTTCACAAGGTCATCATGGATAGGCAAGATTGGTTAGGGGCTTTTTCTTTCTTTTTCTTTATCGCCTGAGAACAGCATGTAGGCTTTGTACTCTGTAGTCAGGGAGTTATCTGATAGGAGATGTCATTCTGTAAAAATGTTTCTCTTATTGGTTAATGAATAAAGCCCTGTTGGCCAATAGGAAAGCAAGATAGGTGGGACTAGGAGAAAGGAGGTTTCAGGGAGAGAGAGGAGAGACTTGAGGGAGATCAACTTCGCATCCTCTCACCGGTAAGATAAGACCACTCAGAAATACTTAGATTAATAGAAATGGGTTAATATTAAAATAGAGTGAGCCAATAAGAAACACTAGTAACAGGCCAACAGCTTTATATCTAATACAGTGTCTCTGTGTGTTATTTGGAGCTGCCGCAGCTCTGGGACCAGGCTGGCGGGAAAACATGCTCGAAACAGTTATCTCCTGGCAGAAATTATTGTTCTCTCTAGTTTTCCCTTCTTGCCATATGCCCTAATTTTTAATTTTTCTATCTCAGTCTCCAAACAACATTCTGCAATACCCAAAGATCAGAATCTTATTCAGCCATTTTCAGAGAAGCTTCTTCCTGTAGCAAATGGGAGGTAACAAAGAGGCCCAAGCTGGACAGCATTCAGAGTGAGAGGCTTTGGAACATTCAGTCCTAAATGGAATTATTTCATCAAGCCTTTGCTCTGGACTCAATGAGCTATGCAGGAGAGAGAAAAGATTTTAAGAGCTAGAGAGGATGGATAACATGAAGGGAACGGTGTCTTCCGGATGAAACAGGACTCACATACATATGAACTCACAGAGAGGGTAGCAGCATGCATAGAACCTGTACATATCCAATCCAGACAGAGTCCCAGCATGGAGAGGGGAAGTGTACATGGGCTCCCACAGCCAACCAAGAAGCTCTCTCCACTTGACAACTGCTTGCGAAGGAAACTGTGCTTTTCTCAAATGGAGTCTCACTGGTTTAATGAAACATACTCAGGGGCAGGCTCTGTGCACATAAAGAACTCAACGGTGGTTTTTTTAGACTCTTTATTTCATATTTTTTATGTTACTGGCCTTTTGCTTGTACATTATGCTTTCCAATTTTGTGTTTTTATGGATTGGGTTTTTTAAATTTTTTTTTATTTTATTTTGGTTTAGGGGTGTATGTGTGTGTGTGTGTGTGAAAATGCATGCACAGGCATGTTTCTTGTGGTTTTATTATTATTATTATTACTATGAGTTTTGAAAGTCTTGGGGGGATTTTTGTTTGTTTTTTGTTTTTTCAAGATATGGATTCTCTTTTCTAAAGAGAGAGAGGGTGTGGAGTTGGATGGATGGGGTAGGAAGGAGAAGGCCTGATAGAATATATTACATGAAAACAACTTTCAAAATCAAAAACAATTTAAAATATTTTATTCATTTATACATTATGACAGGGTCTTACTGTGTAGCACTGCCTAGCATGGAACTCGCTATATAGACCAGGATGGCCTTAAACTAATAGTCTGTTTCTACTTTCCAAGTACTAGGATTAAGGTTTGAGACCACCACACCTGGCCTGACTAGTTTTTTTTTTAATTATGTATAATTATGTGTGGTTCTGTGCACCTGAGGGCAAGTGCCTGTAGAGACCAGAAGAGGGGGTCACACATTCCTGACACTGGAGTGACAGGTGATTGTGCTGGGAACTGAATTCAGGTCCCCTGGAAAAGCAATGCATTCTATTAACCATTGACCCATCTTTCTCCAGCCGCCAACTATTTTCATACATTATTTTTATTTTATGTGCATTGCATGTATGTCTGTGTGAAGGTGTCAGATCCTGTAGGGCCCTGCGTGGACCCCAGAGGCACCTTGAGCAAGCCTGAAGCTGTTGGCTGAAACATCTTGCCCCGGAGTTGTCATTGGTTCCCTTCCTGTTTTGCTAACACACTTCTGCTGGGGAGGAGCTAAGCCTGAAAGCCCTGTTGTTTTTCACTGTGTTGTGAGTCAGTGTATAAGCCCACTTCAGCCACTCATTAAACAGCATTTGGCATTCAGCACTCCAATATTGCAGTTGAACAAGTGACCTGCTGTCTTGTCTCTTATTTAAATCTCTAGGCCTTCTCCAGATTCCTGGAACAGATCATAGCACTGGCACTACAAGTGGAGGTCCCACTGAGATTGGGAAGAAAGGATCACCTAAGAGATCACCCTCAGAGGCCAGCTGGCAAAGTAAGTGATTGAGGGTGTATGGAAGAATGAGTGTCAGTAACTCTAAACAAATTCTCAGTGGGCAATTAGTGGCCCTATTGGAAAGACAGGGCACCAGGATTAAAACTAAGACAGCTAAAGAATTCATTGTCATATTAGAGAAACATAGACCCTGGTTTATGCACTCTGGAGGCTTCAGCATCTCCAATTAGGAACAGGTAAAAGGAGATCTCCAAAAGGCTTATAAAGAAGAAGGGTGTGATAATTTCCCTATTGCCACCTTTTCCTTTGGTGTCTGGTTAAAGATGCAACAATGTTAAAGGATGACTAGGACTTTTAAAGAAGTACAAGACTTAGAATCTGTGAGACCTATCAAGGAACAAGAGGGATCCCAACTAGTAAATGATAGTCCTGTCATAACTGATGAAGAAGATACTTTGGAAGCAGAAAATGAACAATTAAAACAAAGAATTTCTGAAGCTGATGAACCCAAATGCTGTCCACCACGACATAACCCCTTTCTTTGTGATCCCTTTAGTAGGACCTCTGTGCCTCAAGGGATAGAGGAGAAGGTCAAAGATTTTATAACCAAGGTAGAAGCATTAAAAAAGGAAAGACAAGCTTTTCCTGTGATTGAGACAGTAGATCCTCAAAGTAACAGGGTTAGAGAGCACAACCCACTAAATTTCAAGGATATAAAACAGCTTTAGGAGGCTGTCACTGCTTATGGGATGCAGACTCCTTTCACTCAGGCAATTTTTGAGTCTTTCAAAGCATTAAATTGCACCCCTAGTGATTGGATGCAGCTCTTAGAGCCATATGGAGTGGGGGTGATTATTTGCTCTGGAGAAGTAAATTTCAAGAAAATTGCAAAGAAACCGCCCAATGTAATGCCTCTGCCGGATTTCCTGCTAGGAATTTAGATATGCTCATGGGCACTGGGCAATATGCTACCCTTGCAGCTCAAATTCTTTTTGACCCAGCGGTCTATGCACAAATTGTTGTAACTAATGCTACTAATTTTGGAAGAAGTCTCAATTGTTCTCAGCAGGTCTGGCGACTGATTAGCTGCTGTATGTGTAAAGTAACAGCTGTTGTGGTCCATGTACCTGGGGTGGTACCTATGCCGGAGACCTCATCTACAGATGACCAACTTGTGCAGCATAGAGGAAAGGAGATTTCAGGATTACGGCTGCAATTGTTATTGCCATTGCCTCCTCCATCACGGCAACAACAGTTTCAAGGATAGCCCTCTCCCAATCTGTAAATACTGCAAGCACAGTGATCAACTATCAGGTGAATTGGCTGAAGCCTTAGCCACCCAAAACACACTCTATTATCTAGTACAAACTGGCATTTTAAAACTAAATCTACAAACGAATCTCCTATAGGAACAATTGAATTTATTGTGGGAGGCTCATATGGCTTTGTTTCTAGAGATAGCTGTCCTGAAACTGGCTCTGTACACCAGGCTGGCCTCGAACTCAGAGATCCATCTGCCTGTGCCTCCCAATTGCTGGGATTAAAGGTGTGTGCCATCACTACCTGGTTCCCCCTTAAGTTTCTTATGTATGTAGATTTGTTGTTACTATTCTTCTTTTTTAATTTTTTTTTTCTCAAAACAGGCCCTCACTGCGTAGCTCTGGCTGTCCTGTAACTCATTCATAGACCAGGCTGGACTCAAACTCACAGAGATCCACCTGCCTCTGCCTCTGGCATACTGGGATAAAAGGCCTGATAGAGAAAAAAGTTTCAATGCTGTATAACAATCCACATACACCTCCTTCTCCACTGAAGAAACCACACAAGGCTCATGTCCACTTTACCATGCACTTTTATCATCACCATCATCTCATTCTGTATTTCCAGCCCCTCATCTTGAACTTTCCCCAGCTCTCTCCCCATCCCCACCCCTCTGCTCCAGCATATGGCAGGCAAGCTCAACTCTTAAGATCTCAGGCACCAACCCCCAGGCCACAGCAATGGGCTGCTGTCCAATCTATGCCCGCACACTGGCAGTGGCATGTTGTTCCCTCTCGAACATCCCAGGAGCCACAGGCAAAGCCACAGGAGCAGCTGGTGACTGCTAAGCCTGCAAGGAGAGAAGCCTCTGAGAAGCTGGAGCCTGCAGGAATGGGAGCTGGGGATGGGGGGAGGAGGCGGAGGCTGTTGCCCAGGAGAGTAGGATGCTAGATGGGGACTAATGGAGACCTGGAGCTGGGCTTGGAGGCTGGGACAGAGCCTCAAGGAAGTAGATATTGAGGATGGAGACAAAGGAGGCAGAGGAGTCTCGGGGAACTTCCAGAAAGTTTGAACAACAGAGTTTGCACTAACCTTCTGGGCAGGAGGCCAACTCCCCTCTGGAAGAAACTGTCCGGCATCGTAGGCCAATGTTCCTTACTGCTTCTGACACTGCAGAAAGGAAGACGGAAGAGGTAATAGAACCAGGCTGTCCCTGGGAGAGTTGTTGGGTTTGACACTAACAAAGGGGTCAAATGCTTCCCAGCAGAGTGCAGAGATGGCTCAGTGGATAAAGAGTTTGACTCACAGCCGCAGTGATGGTGCACACCTTTAATCCCAGCACTCCAGAGGCATAGGTAGGAGAATCTCTGTAAGTTCAAGGCCAGCCTGCTCTACAGCTAAGGCTGTGACACAGAGAAGCCCTACCTCAAAAAATGGGAAAAGAAAAAAAAAGTTTGCCTCACAAGTGTGAAGATTAGAGCTCAGATGCCCTGAACCCACCTAAAAGCCAGGCAGGCATGTGTAGGGCCACCTATAATCCCAGCATCCAGAAGACAGACAGACATGGGGTCCCCAGAACAAGCTGGCCAGAATATCCCAAGCACACAAGCCCTGAGTTCCACTAAGAGACCCTGCCTCAACAAATGAAGTAGAGAGTGATCAGGGATGAGGGCACCATATCAACTTCAGGCTTCCACACATCAATGCACACACACACCTTCACATGAGCACCACATATATGCACATACATGTACAGCACACATGGTAAAACATTTTACCCCCAGAGAGGCCAGAATGGTGGCTCACACCTGTGATCCAAACACAGAGTGATGCCTTCTGGGGTGAGGGGAGGTTTAGGGGTGATGGTGGGAAGAAGTTAGGCTGTGGGTTAGAGCTGTGGTTCAAGATAGGACAGGCAGGGTGAGGTTGGGTTAGAACTTGTAGACAGGGCAGTTTGAGGCTCAGGTTAGCCTTGCATCTGGGTGGGTCTGTGGCCCCATCAGCGATGAGGAAAACCTGTGAGGCCCTCAGTAAGGTTGGGTGGAGGGCTCCTCACATAGGGAGCTGAAGCCTTGCTTCATCTTCTTGTCGATGATTTCATCCACGGAACACAGTGACCCACTGGAGCCCAGCAAGCCCGGGACAGGGAAGAGGAGGAAGAGAAGTGAGAGGTTTTTCATCCTGTAGGTTCTGCAAGAGACAACCAAGAGCCCCACCTGAATTCAGCCCCTTCCCGTGCTGGAGAGAGCCAGACCACAGGGATGGACATTCAGTTGCCCTAGGTCCCCCACATCCGAGCTCTGACTAGGGGAGGGCTGTCACTTACTGTGGCAGTGGACTCAGCGAGACACAAATCAGTTCTGGGCATGAGCCCCTGTCCCACAGCTCCTTCTTGTAGACATCTGGATGTGGCCCATTCTGCCTTGGGTAATAAGTCCCTTGGTCCCTTGCCCTCATTGCCACATCTGGGCCAAGAGGACCAGACTCTAGAGGTCCCAGAGCAGGGACTTCCCTCCTGCACAGTCCTTCCTGCATCAGCTACTGCTTAGGAGGCGATGTCTGGGGATAACTCCAGGCACCACAGTGGGAGAGGCAGGAGTAGGAGTCAAGACTTTACCTTCAGGGAGAAGCTGGAGGGGCAAACTGAGGCACTGTCCCTGTGTGACCACAGCTCCATGGACGTTTTCTTTCTTTGCTTGGGGTTATACACTGTAGTCAAGCCCTACCACTAAAATCTAGACAAGTGTTGCTGAATCACACCCCAACCCCTCACTAGGGGATTCTAGGCAGACTCCTACCTCTCAACCATGGTCCCTGCCCCTCACTGGAAGTTTCTAGACAGGTGCTTTCCATCTGAGCTACACCTCCAGCCCCTCAGGTGTCTACATAGGTGGTCTACCATGGAGCCACGCCCCCAGCTGCTCACTGGGGAAGTGTCAGCAAGAGCTCTACCATAGAGCCACACCCCCAGCTCTTCCCAGGAAGTCACTCTACCTGTCAGCCACCACCTGAAGCTCCTCACTGGGAGGTTCTAGGCAAGAGCTCTACTTTCTGGTGCAGGGAGCAAGGGGTCAGACCCTCTGGGTCCTTTGGAAATCCTTCTTTCTCTCATGTTATTTAAATGATAAATACTGGGTGGTCATAGTTCCAGCCCAAATACAGAATATTCATGTCTGTAAATGACTCAATGGAACCTGGTTTATCTTTTCTGCCTTTAAAAACATTATTAAGTTGTTATTATTGCATGTGTGATGTGTATGGATTTACGCACAGTGCCTATGTGGAGGGCAGAGGACAACTGAACTCAGTTTTCAGTCTGAGTTCTCTCTCTCTCTCTCTCTCTCTCTCTCTCTCTGTGTGTGTGTGTGTGTGTGTGTGTGTGTGTGTGGTTTTTCAAGCTTTCTCTGTGAAACACTCCTGGATGTCCTGGATTTGTAGACCAGGCTGGCCTTGAACTCACTGAGATCCACCTGCCTCTGCCTCCCAATGCTGAGATTAAAGGCAAGAGCCACAAATAATGTCTACAGATTCAACGCCAGCCTGGTCTACAGGAGCAAGTTCCAGCACAGCCAAGGCTATATAGAGAAACCCTGCCTTGAAAAAAACAAAAAGACTAAGTATTTATTCATTTAGACCAAGATCTTATATAGCCCATGCTTGGCCTACATAACAAGGATGAGGACCTGAATTCAGATCCCCAGCCACCACATAAAAAACCTTGTGCATGCTAAGCATGGTGGTGCATGCCTTAAATCCCAGCACTTGGGAGACAGAGGCAGGTCGATCTCTGTAAGGTTAGCCTGGTCTACATAGATAGTTTCTGGCAAACCCGGGCTACACAGAGAAACCTTTTCTCAAAAGAAAACAAGAGTGAAAAAATGATTAAGGATGCCTGCATAGGACCCTAAGTTCCATTCCTAGAATCAAGGTGGAGGGGAAAGGTAATAATTTTTTGAGAATATTTCCATAATTTTCATTTGTCTTTTGTACTGTCTGTGTGTAAAGTATTCAGCACACTTCAAAGCACAGGCAGCAGCAACATGTTTGCATCTGGCAAGCAAGTTAACATGGCCCTCCCATCCTGTGGTTATCCATTCTCTACATGTGCTACATGTGTCTGCAACAAGAAAACCCAACATCTTTCAACAGAAATCCCAGTTTCCAGACAGCAATATTCTTAAATGTGTGTGTGTGTGTGTGTGTGTGTGTGTCAGTGTGTGTCAGTGTGTACACTATGCATGTGTGGAAATTAGAAGGCAATATTCAGGAGTTGGTTCTCTCCCACCATGTGGCTCCCAAGGTTTGAACACTGGTCCTCAGGCTTGGATACAAGTTCTTTTACTCAGTGAACCCTCTTGTCAGCATCTAGTACAGTATTAGTAAGCAGGGCAAGGCATACACTTGTAATCACAACACTTGATAGGTAGAGGCCTGAGGCTTGGGAGTTTAAGCTCATCCTTGGCCACATGGTGAGTTATTGGCCTGTCTGAGCTACATGAGACCCTGTCTCAAAGGCCTGATATTGGAGTTAGTTCCCTTGAGACCATAGCTGTTTTCCTATGAGGACAGCTACCACTATCACTACAGTGCATCTACCAGTTAAAACCTTAACTGGGGTCAGAGAGATGGCTCAGTGGCTAAGAGTGCTTACTACTGTGGTGGAACTCAGTTCCAGCATCCACATCAGGAGGCTCACAAGCACTTGTAAACTCCAGTTCCAGGAGATCTAACGCCCCCTTCTGGTCTCTGTGGGCACTTGCAGTTATAGTGGTTGTGAGCCACCATATAGGTGCTGGGAACCAAACTTGGGTCCTCTGCAAGAGCAGCCAGTATCCATGTTGGGTTTTGGATTGTTTGTTTGTTTGTTTGTTTACACAAGCCTCACATATCCAAACCTGCCCTTGAACTCCTGTTTAGCCAAGGGTACAGAGAGAGTAAACTTGAACTAATTCTCTTTAGATTACTTTTTGTTATATATATTTATATTTATATTTTATTTATATGTGTAGGGATTTGTGGCCCTCAGAGGCCAGAAGGAGGTGTCACATCCCCTAGACCTGGAGTCACAGGTGATTTGTGAGCCACCTGACATGGGTGCTGGGACCCAAACATAGGTCTTCTAGAACAGCAAGCCTTCTTAACCCCAGAGCCATCTCTCCAGCCCCAAGCTTGAACTTGTGATCTTGCAGCTTTCTCTTCTCAAATGGAGGATTCCAGGCTCCTCCACCATGCTCCACTTATGCTGGGCTGCGTTAGGCCCAACACCTTGTAGTCTCCAAGTTAATCTCCATGTCATCTTCACCTTAATTTGAAAAAGTATGCCAATGCTAAAAGGAATCTCAAAATACACTACTTTATGAAAAACTTCCTTAAATTTATCTTGTGCGTTGTATGTGCAGGACTTGTGATGTATGTGCATGTGTGTACACAGATGCATAGATGCAGAAGCCAGAGAAGGACATCAGGTGTCCAGACCCATCACCCTCAGCCTGACTCCCTGAAAAGATGATCTCTCACTGAACCTGATAGCCAGCGAATCCTGCATGCCTCCTGTTTCTGCCCCACTTACTGCTGGGACTAAGGGCAAACACATAGCTAAGTGCAGCTTTTCACATGGGTGCTGGGGATCCACACACAGGTCCTCATCCTTGAGCAGCAAGAGCTCTTACCCACTGGGCCATCTTCCCAGCTACCTTCCTTACATTTCTACTACTGCCAAAGTAGAAATGTAACCAAAGAGGGCAGGGGCATGGACTTATGGAGCAACTCAAAACTTCCTCCAAAAGAAGTGTTGAAGGAGGGAGAGCATGGGACCAGGACCATCTGGTCACTGCTTCCTGGAACAAAGTTGAGCCATCCTCCTTCCAACTCCCTCCTCCCATCTCTTCAGCCTCTACCATTAAGCCTCATGATTACACAATGCTCCCTCTCAACTCTTGCAACAGTCCTGTGCAATTTCACAGATGACACAACTGATGTCACGTGACGGGGGTGCACATTCAAAAGGCCACTGGGACCGCTGGGAAGGCGGCTCAGTCAGTATCGTGCTTGTTCTGCAAGCATAAGGATCTGAATTCGAATCCCCAACCCCCAACAAACAAAAAACCTGTGTGCCCATAATCCTGATGATGTGGGGTGGGAGGGGGGTGCAGGAAACAGAAAGTCTCCTAGGGCTGGCCAGCCAGGGCCTAGCTGGAATCAGCAAGCTCCAAGTTCAATCAAAAGACCACCCTGCCTCAAAAAATAAAGTGGGGATCTAGCGCTGTGGCTCAGGAGAAAAGTCCCTGCCGAGGATCCCTCGGTGAACGACTGGGGCATGGCTCAGGGGTATGCCAAGGTGTTTGGATTCTATCCCAAACACCACACACAAACACAAAATAGAACTGTGGACTGCTGATCACAAGGTGTTGCTGACACTGAGCCCAGGGGACATCATCCTTGGCTCAGAGAGAACACCCTTTCCCCTAGCAGGCCATTCCCTCACACCAAACACATTTTCACAATGCTCTTGGCAGCAAGGAGCTGTTGGCCAACTTGTGTTGCCAGATTTGAGCAACTTCACACAACACAAAAATGTTCTGGGTAGAGGATTTGATGGCTTTCTCTTTATTTTTTTAATTTGTGCAGTAGTGAGGATTGAATCTAGGACCTTAACCATGCTGGGCCAATGCTATACTGCTGAGGCACGCTCCTACCTCACTGTTGGATTTTAGGCAGGGGCTGTACCTCTGAGCCATAGCCCCAGCTTTCTGGGAAATGTTAGGCAAGCACTCTACTGCTAAGTCATGCCTATAGTCCCACCTAACATCTTACCTGGAGAGTTACTAAAGGACATCCCCTGAGATGACAGCACAGCCTCTTGATGTGAGGCAAGAGGAAGGATCCAGCAAGAGCAGCGTGTTTCTGGTTGCTGGCCACTGAACCTAATTAAAATGGGTGCTGTGATTCTAAGTCTCTGTTTAGGGAAGGCAGGAAGGCAGGAGCAGGGATCCATAGATGCTGGGGGACCCATTACGGATGGTGCCAAGGAAGCCACCATGTGGGACATTCCACAAGGCAGGAAAAGGAAAACACCAGGTAGCAAGTAGTGATGATGTGGGGAGCTAGCAGATGGAGAGCTGCAGATGCAAGGCTCTGGGGCAGGAACAAAGTGTCACTGGTTAGAAGAAGGTCAACAAGTCCTCCTGAGGGGTATACCCACATAACACAGAAAAGAAGAGTGGACATTTTATTCTCATAAAGAGATTCTTCGTGTGCCAAGACATCAGATGATGACATTGGCCAAGGGGGGCAATAAATACTTGCACAGTCAGTATTTGTATTTGCTATAGATGCTGTGCTGGCTAAGTGTATGTCAACTCGATTCAAACTAGAATCATCTGAGGGAGGCTCAACTCCATTAGGATGTAGGCAAGCCTGCAGAACTTTCCTGAATCAGTAATTGATGTGGGAGGGCCCAGCCCATTGTGGGTCTTAGGTTCTATAAGAAAGCAGCCCGGCCCGGTGGTGGCACAGACCTTTAATCCCAGCACTCGAGGCCAGCTTGGCCTACAGAGTGAGTTCCAGTACAGCCAATACTGTTACACAGAAAAACCTTGTCTCTGAAAAAGGGGAAGAAAGAAAAAGAAAAGAAAGAACGCAGGATGCGCGAGCCATGAGGAGCAAGCCAGTAAGTAGCACCCCATCATGGGCTGTCATCAGCTCCCGCATGAGTTCCTGCCCTCGCTGCTTTTCACATGAACTGCTATGTGGAACTGTGAGTGAAATAAACCCTTTCCCCCTCCCCCAAATTGCTTTGGTCATGTTTCATCACAGCAGTAGTAACCCTAAGGCAGTCACATCATCTCACGTGGGTATCATTAGAAGGTGGCCAGGGGTAGTGAAGCGTGCCTTTTAATCCCAGCACTGGCCCACACCCTGGTCCACATGGTTCCATAGCCAGAACTACACAGCGTGATGAGATTTTTCTTTTTTTAAAGGAGGGATGAGAGCAGTTTAAGCAACAGAACGTCGTTTCTGTTGAGCACCACTGAATAACCCTTAGCCAACTTCCCAGGCGTCTTTTATAATTAAGGTCACCCAAGCCCTGGCTACAATCTGAAATGAGCAAAGAAACCGGAAAAATGAGCCGCAGCGTCCCCTGGCGTTCACCTTGCTTAACTACGCAAATAGATCCTGGGAAAGAACCCGCAGTTTCCACCAGGGATCGTAGGTTTACGTTACTTTATTCTTTTTTATTTTCATTTTTTAAGTTAGAAGTTTTATTAGAAAGGGAAGGGAGAAGCGGGAGAGAAGAGAGAGATGGGGAGGGGAGAGAGAGAGAGAGAGAGAGAGAGAGAGAGAGAGAGAGAGAGAGAGAGAGAGAGAGAGAGGAAAAGTCCTGTCTGCCCTTCAGAGAACAGCAGGAGAGAGCCATTTTAAACTTTAGAATTACCTCCGTGCCAGACAACCCCAGCACTTCAGAGAGCCTGAGGCAGGAGGATAGCGAATTCCAGGTCAGCCTGAGATACAGAGCAGGAAAAAACACCCTTCATCTCCCTCCAGGTAAAACCTGTCCCTTCAGCACTGAATCCAGGCCAGCCTGTCTCGTGGGAGGGGGGGAGGGGTGGATCTACTACGACCCACTTCCACACACTATTACTCAATCCACGAATTTCATGATCTTTCTGTCCTGAGTTGGGACGCGTTCTCAATTCTTTGGGGACATGTCTTTAGATTCCCTCGACTTAGATGAACTCAAAATCAAGAGGGTCCTACTTGCTGCCTGCAACTCTTAGCATGCATGGGTCACATGCCCAGAAGAGCCCCTAGAAGTAAACATAATGCCGCCAGGGGTCGCTTCGTTCGGCTCCAGCCAGACCAGGCCTCTATCACACTCGGATCATGTTTCTTGATCTCCCTGCTCAGGACCAACCATGGTGTCCAGTTGCCCATCAGTAACCAGAATCTTCAACAAGTTTGCAAGGCCCCATATAGTTCTTACCTTATCCTAAGGCCAGGGATGGAACCCAGGGCAAGCTCTATAGTCCCAGTGCTCATCAATAGCCCACATTCTTTCCATGTTAGTTATCAGCTTTGCTGCCTTGAGCTTCCCTCCCCACACCCTCCTACTCACATCATCACCTCGGGGTGAAAAACTTCGGCGTGCCACACATCCCCAGGGGCCCTTTGCTGCGGACCCTTCTCTGAATTACTCAGTGAAACATACCTCCTGTCACCCAAATACTATGAGCTAAACTGTAAGTTCCCCAGAGTTCATGTTCCAAGCTCTGTGACTATATTTAGAAAGAAGGTCTTTTAAAAGGTAACTTTTAGAAAATGAGGCCACAGGGTGGGCTCTAACCTAGTATGTGGTGCCATAAGAGGAAATTGGGCCACTATGTGAGGAGACCAGGAAATGGCGACCTCAAAGCTGGAGATGTGGCTCAGCAGCAAGAGTGCTTGCCTAGCATGCGTGGGAAACTGTTTGTCCCCAGCACTGCATAGGCAGGAAAATCTGTTCAAAGCCATCCTTGGCTATTTAACATGGCCAGCCTGAGGCTACAGGATACCCTTCCCTGAAAGAAAACAAATGATGGCCATCTACAAAGCCAACCAAGCCAACCTGGGTAAAGGCCAAGCTTCCAGAGCTGTGGAACAATGAATCCTATTAAAGCATGCAGAGCAAAAGTGCTTTTATTTATTTGTATGTGTGCACATGTGTATGCGTGCACATGGGCACACCCACACACATGCATGTTTCCTGAGTTCTCACAGAGGCCACAAGAGAACTGAATCCCTGGTTACAGGCAGTTGTGAGCCACTCAGTATGGGTGCTGGGGACCAAAGTCCAGGCCCCTTCAAGCAGCAAGCACTCTTAACCTCTGAGCCATCCAGGTCCTGGGGACATTTTTTAAGTTGGCCATAATGAACAAGTATGTCTCCACGAAAAGCTCTGATAAGTCCTGCAATTGGAGTCTACAGGCATACCATGGGGTTGGGAGTGGGGGCAAGTTTGCTGTGTTCTAAATGCTGGCTCTGATTCCTGGAATTGTGGTGGCAAGTCCCACTTGCAGTACCTTCTAGAAGGTTTCAGGGGAAGAGTCAGAACGCAGGCCTATTCTACCTGCTTCTCTTTCTGTGGCTGGAGAGATGCCTGTGGTTAAGGGCACCGCTGCTCTTACAGAGGACCCAGGTTTGATTCTTAGCATTCGCATGGCAGCTCACAACCATCTATAACTCTGGGCCCAGGGGATCCCAACAATCTACTTTGACCTCTGCAGGCACTGCATGCATATACACAGACATACATGCAAGCAAATCACCCATACACATACAATAAAAATAAAGGTTAAATTTTTTTCTATAATTCTAACCAAACAGCTAAAGATTTCTAATAACAATAGGGGTCCCAGCTCTGCCATCCTCTGATCTGCACCTTCCTGCTCTCTTCTCTGCAATTCCGGTGCTAAGATCGGGCCTTGGGTTTCGGATGGGGTTCCCAGCAAGGCTGTCAGGGCCTAATAAACCTCCAGCCAATATTGAACCTACAGCCCAGGTTCTTGAGCTTCATGATAGCTGATGATGTGGCTGGGGGGCAGGGAAAGGTGTGGAAGGCCTGCAGCACAGATCTGGCTCAGTGCAGCTCCCTCTGGGGAGCAAATGAGATGAGCCCTGAGGGAAAGACAGAGGGGGGAGTTTATTTCTCAAAAACAGAGGAGCACAGGGGCAGGGGCTGAGTCAAGGCAGGGCCATGTCCTCCAGCTTCTGATCCAGGGTCTTGAGGTCATCGAGGAAGCGTGTTGGAGTGAGGATGTGTGAAGAGCCTGGGCAGGAGGGAAAGGTGGGGAGGTAGAGGTCCCGCCTGGGAGTCTGTCACTCCTGGCTAGTGTCCTGGCTACTGAGAACAATTTCCTGTCCCTCTGCAAGCCAAGGCCCTGTCTTCTCAATGCCTCAGGAGTCCCGAAGCTAAGGAACATGGGTACCCAGCCCCAGGTGATTACTCCCCTGGGGACTCATGCCCCAGCCCCTCAGAAACCCCAGATTCCTGTCCCCAAGCCCTAAAAACTTCAGAGTCTAATCCTAGGCCTTGAGGGACTCTTGAATTCAGTCCCAGCCCCTCACAAACCACACAGGTAAGCCCCAGACCCTAAGGGGCCTCAGAGGCCAGCCCTAGATTCCAAAAGACTCCAGAGTCTAGTCCTGGGCTTTTAGGGACCCAGAATCCAGCCCCGGGCTCCAAGGAAGCCCAAATCCATCCCCAAGTCTTAAGGGTCCCCATATAAGGCCTTTTGGGATATCAAATCTAACTGCAGACTTCAAGGGATCCCCAAATCCATCCCGAGACCCTAAGAATCCCTAGAGTCAAGTTCCCAGGGACCCCAGTTCAGCTACTCACCTATAAGCACCTCCCATTTGCCTTCAGTGGCCCTGGTCACCTCATAGGCAGCCCTCATTTCAGACATGGCCACACCACCCACAATGTACACAATGAGCCTGGGCCCAGCCCGAGCCTCGACACCAGCTTTGTTTTTATGCCAGTGGCCAAAACGAGCGCTGCTGGGGTGATGAGTAGAGATCAGTACAGGCTGGCAGTCCCCCAGGGCCCACCCCAGGCCTCTCCAAGGCCCTCACCTAACAGCTGCCTGAGAACTAGGCACAGGGGCAGGGTCAGACACGAAGGGCCACAGCTTTCGGTCCAGCCGGTCCTCCACCACATCCTGGGTAGCCAGACAGGAAAGGTTAAAGAATCCTAGCCAGTGGGACCCAGGAACTGAAATGGCCACGGGTCATAGCACCACTGCCTACAGCAACTTGTCTTTTGGGGACCCAGGATTCCAGGATGCCAAGGTGCAAGGTTGCTTGGCCCCCAAGCAGGAGGTGCCACCTTCCAAGGACTAGAGAACAAAGGCCCTGATACATTATTTTTTGATGTTGAGGCTTTGGGGTATCAGGGTGGCCAGGGGCCAGCATACGATAGGCTTCTTGGGTAACGAGGTACTGATAGATGAGAACACAGGGTATAGAGAAAGCTACAGTCTCTATCAAGGAGTTCCTCAGCAGCCCCAAATCCTGGGGTGCAGTTTTGTGTGCCTCCCTCCCCACAGAGCAGATAGGTTGCCAGGGGTATGCTGATAACAAAGGATTTTCTGCTAAGCTCTAAGGCTTAGCACTGAGAGCCTGGGAGGGCAGGGTGGAGGGCTTAGTGGCTAATGGGATCAGCAGAGAGGAACAGGGGCCCCCAACATGTGTACCTCCATCACATCTTTGATGACTGGGGACCAGCGGGACAGCTGGTAGGTGGGCTCCATGCGCTCCTTCCGCTCCAGCCGACTGAAAGTCCCTGAGCCCTACAGAGGGGGCCAGGTAGGGATGGAATGGGGTTGGGAAGGGAAGGAACCCATCACAGATGGGAAGGGACTATGAGTGTATAGAAAGATGGAGGAATGGAGCAGAAAGAGACAGAAAAACAGAGACAGAGAGACAGAGACACAGAAAGACAGAAGCAGAGCAGAGAGACAGGGACAAGGAATTCAAGAGATACAGACAGGGAGGCAGAAACAGGTCAAGAGAGATGAAGATACAGAAAAAGGATGGGAAGATAGACAGAGATGGGAGATAGAGAAAGACACAAGATGCAAAAGACAAAAAAAAAAAAAAAAAGGCAAAGAAACAGACAAAATTGGAAAGAGGCACACAGACATGGAAACACATAGATGGACACAGAGGCAGGGAGTCAGAGAGGTAGGGATGGATGAAAAGGGAGACAGAAGAAACAGAAATGGGAAGGGGAAAAACAGAACGAAGAAAAAGAAGATGGAGGTCAGGTGAAGGATACAGAAACAGCAAGAGGCAAGAGACAACCCAGGCTTGGCAGGTCACATCTATAATCCCAGGTACTCAGGAGACTAATGCAAGGGGATGGCCATGAATTTGAGGCCAGTCTGAATTATGGAGTGAATTTAAAATCAGCCTTAGCAGCTGGATGGTGGGAGCTCATGCCTTTGATCCCAGCACTAGGGTGGCAGAGGCAGATGGATGTCTACGAGTTGGAGGCCAGTTTGGTCTACAGAATGAGGTCCAGGAAAACCAAGGCTACACAGAGAAACCCTGTCTAAGGAGAAGAAAAAAAAAAAGATCAAGGTCAAGGCCAGCCTGAGCTACAGAGTGAAATCTGCCTCAAAATAAGAATGTATGAGAGAGACAGACAGAAAAGGGGACAGGGGGAAGGACATGGGGCAAGGTCACAGGCCTGTGGTACAGCAGAATGAAGGAAAACTGGACACATAGGTCAGAAGAGACTAGAGTAGAGCATAAGAAACCACCACATGTGTTGGGTGGGGTAAGAGGTTTACAGAGGCCCCCAAAGGCCCCACTTTGACTGTCTCCCAATTAACAGTGCTCACTCTCCCACCTGCCTGAGAGCTGAGGCTGCATACCCACACTGTACCAGCATGTACAGGGCCCATTTCAACTCTGCTACCCATCATGTTAGGGAACTGGGGAAGGCCTTGGTACGCCTGGTCACCAAAAAGCCAAGCCATGCTTGCACACACGGACTGGTCATGTATCCTGCAAGGGCCCAGCTCCATGGCTCCTCAACTCCCCACATACCGAAGAGTTGGTGACGGTGCCACCCAGCTGCTCCAGATTCCTGATGAGGTTGCTGTAGGCCTGCACATTGGCATGCTGGATCAGCTTGGCCAAGTTTTCCTCACTCACGCCTGGGTAGAGAGACAGGGTCATAGTTAGTGACTGGTAGTGTCCTGTGTGAAGGGATTTGAAAACAGATTCTCACAGCTAGGATGTCTCCTGGACCCAGAAACTTCTGGTGTTACAACAAAGAGGAATTGTAGACAGCTATCTCTCAAAAGGGAGAATTGGAGAGTCTTCCAGAATGATCTGAGAAAGCTAAGAGATGCTTGAGTGAGGCAGACTGTTTGCAGCACAAGCATGAAACCCTGAGTTCAAATCCATAGCACCCACATAAAAACAAGAAGATCACTGGAAATTTCCAGGCCTCGGCCTATGTCAGGTTTGGAGAGAGACCATGTTGCTGAGATTGGAGAGATTTGAGGCCTGACCTGACTAGGGGCAGTGAGGGGATGAAGAAACAAACACTAAAGAAACGATAGGCTCATGTACAGAGAAGCCAGGGTCCGGTGGGCTGTGCACACTGATGGAGTGGCACAGTTACAAGCTTTTGCCCGCATTGGTCAATCATTTGGAAACATGTATTTGTACTTGGATCAGAGAAAGCCTTGCCATTCCAAGTCTGACCTAAGGAAGGCTTTGCCACCCCATGGATCTGAGGCATTGGGTCTTTGGCATGGCTGTGCCCATGTCAACAGTACATGTCCACTCATGACTTCCTCAGCTTCCCCACACCCTGTCTCAGGGGATAAGGCAGAGAATAACACTGGTATTCAGCAGGACACCCAATGTCATACTCTGGTCTCCCACATACATGCAAAAAGACCTGAGTTCAAATCCCCAGCACCCAGTAGTAATATATACCTGTAACCAGGGCTTCGGGGATGGGGACAGGCTGACCGCAGACTTGCAGGACTCTAGCCTAACACAATATTCAGGGAGAGACCCTGTTTCCCAGGGGTACGAGAGGGACCGACAGAGCAAGGTTCAATGTCCTGCTCTGGTCTCCCACATGAGCACACAGCACATATAGCTGCACACATGCCCCCTCACAGAATCAGATGAGGGAGTCTTGGCTAACCTTTCTTCTTTTTGTATTTGTACATGTATGTGTGCATTGTGGGTATTTATCTGTGTTGTGCATGTGTGTGCATGTGGATATATGTGTATGTGGAAGCTGAAGGCTGAAGACCATCACCCTTCACCTTGTTTTTTGAGTCTCAGTAGCTCAGAGCCTGCCAGTTCAACTAGACTAGCTAACCAGCAAGCTCCAGGGTCTTCCTGTCTCTGCTTCCCCAGACCCAGGGTTACAAGTGGGCAGCACACAAGCTGGAGAAGTGGCTCGGTAGTTAATAACACTGGGTGTCCTTTCAAAAGACCCAGGTTCAGTTCCCAGCACCCATGTGGAGGCTCACCTGAACTCCAGTTGCAGGGAATCTGATACCCTCTTCTGGCCCCTGCAGGTACCAGGCACACACACTGTATACAAACATACATGTAGGCAAAGCACTCATTCACATAAAATGAAATAGGCCTTTTAAAAAATGATAATGAGAGCAGGCTGGCCTGTGGGCATGCCTGTGAGGGATTTTCTTAATTTTACAGTTGAAGAGGGACAACCTGTCCACTGTGAATGGCACCATAGCCTGGGGAGGCGACCCTGATCTGTGTAGAGTAGAGAAACAGAATCAGATTCAAGCATAGCTGCATCTATTCTCTGCTTGATTGTGGACATGCCCAGCTGCTGCGAGCTCCTGCCACCCCAACCTCTCCTCTCTCTTAAGTTGCTTTGCCGGGGCATTTTATCATAGCAACAGGCAATAAAACTCAGACAGCAAGCTAAGATGATGGTGGCCTCGTAGTTGCGATGTCTCTAGGACCTGAGCCTCCTCTGGCCACCCCCTCACCCACCATTCCGAAGAAGGATGTAGAGCAACAGGACCCGGATCTTGTCGTACGGCGGCACTGAAGCGTCCAGCAGCACCGGGACAATCAGCTTCATGGCGTCCTTGATCTTCTCACCCTCGGCATCAGAGCCCATGGCCAGGTCCTGCATGGCATGAGAGTTAACTGTCCAACCAGCTGCTGGGGGAAGCATCAGGAGGGTGGTAGAGCAGGGGCAAATCAGGGACTTTTGTAAGATGTTCCCACCCTTCTTAGCCTAGAAACTGGTCTCCTGAAGCCCATCTAACTGAGCACAGACCAGGCTCTCCCCATGATCTCCAACTCTCATTCTGGTCTTATCTCTAAGCACAACTCTGCCCACCTATCCAAAACCTTCAACCAGGGCCCCACCCCACCAAGACTCCTTCTACCCAAACCCCACCCCTCCACAAGCTGACTATAAAGGTTTTACCCTCTATCTGAGGCCCTACCCTTCCCCAAGTTCTCCCTGCCAGAGGGCCCCAACCCTTGAATGAGCTCCCCTTACCCCCCAAGTTTTGCCCCATGGAGGAGGGCCCTGACCACCTCTTTCAGGCTTCACTCCTCCCCAAGTTCTACCTTCTAGGGAGCCCCACCCCTCCCGATTCTGCCTCACGGGGGGGGGGGGCACCCCTCTGATGGCCCACCTGCTCCACACTGCACAGCTTCTCCACCGAGCCTTTGAAACGCTTCATGCAGTCGTCTGCTAAATGCAGGTGTGTAGAATACTACAGGGTGGGGACCGGGTTAAGAGACATAATCAAGTCAGACATCTGCACTGAGCCTGGGGGCAGAAGTCGACTGCCCAAACTTACCTTGTTCAGTTCCTTCTGATACTGAGGCATCTTTTTCAGGATGTGCGACAAGTCTTTGATGTTGGCCTGAAGTAGGGGTAGGAGAGGGTAGAGAGGGTAGGGGTGAGGCTGGGCCCCTGCCCTACACCAGGGGAGGTTCCACTCTGGGCTGGGCACACAGGCTGAGGCTCTGTCCCACCGTGGACTGCTACCTTGTCTGTGGTCAGCCGCTTGCTCTCACAGAAAGTCTTCAGGAGCTCTGTGACCTTCCTAGCCATGAGCAAGGGCAGGGGAAGAGAAAGGATGCTGAGATGGTTGAGGAGAGCCTCTTCCTGCCAGCTGATGGGGGACACCTAGATGCATGTACCAGTCCCAGCCGTGGGATAAAGTATGGTGAAGGGCGGTTAAAGGCAAGTCAAGGGTCCCCCCCAAAGTACATAACTTATAGGGGGGACAATCATGAGGGATGAGGCCTGGGGGCCTGGGCCCTCCCTCCAGCACCCTCAATATACTCTCACTTGGAAACGTCTGCTATGTGCATGTGTCGAAGCTCCACCCACAGGTCATCATCTTCATCCAGCAGTACAGCCTTCTCCCGGGACTCACTCAGTCCTGTGGTCTCATACCTGGAGGGACAGGACATGTTGGAGGATGGAAGGACCTAAGTTGGCAGAGAAAGGGGCGGAAGGCATCTTCCTGGATCTGTCCACCTGTATGTGTCCTGTTCGATGTCCAGAAGATCATAGGCCATGGCTTGAAATGTGAGTTCATGTAACAGTGGAGATACAGGATCTGCTGCCCGGTCCATTATGAGTAGCTGTGAGCGTGTTTTCTCTGGGCCCTGGGCAAGGAGAGACAAGGATGAAGACATGGGCTGTGACCCTCTAAAGCTTCTCTGGCCCCTCCCCAACATCCCTCTCACCTCTCCCAGGCTCGGAGTGTCTGCCTTGAAGGCATTCAGCTTAGCCAGGACAGCATGGGCCAGCTGGGCTGTGTCTTCTGGACCCCTGGAGGTGATGCAGTCAGACACAGGAACGTCAGGACTTGGGATTGGGAGGACTGGGCACAGACTGGGGACATCAAGGGTAGGGGTGAGGATGGGAGTTAGGGACTGGGTGGGGATCAAGCAAAAGACTGAACACAGAAGCCAGGGAGATGGCTAAGTTGGTAAAAAGACTGTCATGCTAGCATGAAGGCCATCAGATTCCAGTCCCCCAGAACCCTTGTTTAAAAAGTGTGCTTGAATTTGCAGCTCTGCAGAAGTAGAGATGGGGGTCCTTGGACCTGGCCTGCTAGTCTAGTCAAATTCAGAAGCCTAGACCCAGGGAGGAAGCTTGTTGCAAAAACATGGCTAAGTAGTTAAAGGCTCAAACTGCTCTTCCAGGGCACCTGAGCTCAGCTCCCAGCACCCACATGCAGTCTGACAGTCTGTAACTCTAGCTCCAGGAGGTTGGATGCCCTCTCCTGGACTATGTGAGAACCCTCATATTCACACACACAAACATACACATAATTTTTTTTCATCTTTAAAAAAATAAAAGGGAAAAGTAACTGAGAAAGACACCTGAGGGTGATCTCTGACCTCCATACACACACACGCTTACACACATGAACACATGCATACACACAGGGGGAAATGGACACAGAATGAGTGAAGGTAAACAGGTAGCATTGGGGTTGGGGTGGGGATGGGTCCCCACTTGCGGTAGCGAATGGATGGGTATTCCTGAAGGGTGGCACATAGTGTAGCTATCTGCTGGGCCAATGCGTCAAGCTGCCGTGCCCTCTCCCCTGCCCGGAATGGGCAGTAAAGATTGTAGGTGCTGTGTGGGGCATCCAGAGAGAACACCTGGGGAGGACAGAAATGTCATGGCCACACCATAGGGGTTACCCAACCCAACTTCCAGCTGCTGTCCCTGCATTTCCCTGGGGCCTTCACCACCTTCTGGAACCTGTTTTGCCAGCCTTGAAGCAGGATAGGGTAGCCCCAGTTAAAAGTTGAAAGGGAATAGAGATAGTTCCTGGTTCCCTCCCCCTTGGGGAATGAGAAAGTTCTGCCCTGTGCTCTACGTTGCCTTTTAGGAATGCCCAAAGGGCTAGCACTCCAGGCAAGGACCTGTTAATTGTTCATTGCTTGTTGGTGCTGTCTGTTCTGGAGGGAGCTTGGACTGTTTGGTCAAGGACAGCCCACCCCCTCCCCCACCACAAGCTAGGGCTGTACCTGGGCCTCATAGGGGAGGAAGGCAAGGTGGATCTCTTTCAGTGTCTTCACCACCTTTGCGAGGCGAGAGCGGCCCAGTTCACTGAACAAGGGCTCAGGGCATGCTGGGGTTGGCAGAGAAGGACCATCAGACCAATGTTTGTCACCATACTCCCTACCTCATCACAGCACCCAGTCCCCCTGGTTCTCCTCACTCACTGTCAGTGAAGAAGACATGGGCTGCTTTGTATGTGAAGGTCGGTGTCCCCCGGAAGTCTGCAATCAGGGCCTGAACCGACTGTGGGGTGCAGATTACTGTTGGAATCAGACCCTGCACCCCAGACCTATCTTCTGCAGGGGATTCCCCAACTGATGCTCATCCCTCACTATGTGCAATTGTTGGGAGGGTGCTCACATAAACATATACATTGACTGACACATACATGCATTCTGACATGTACACGCACACATATACACTGTCACATGTAAATGCACAAATGCCTGCAACATATACACACACAAATTCTGACACTGCACACACATATATGCACAAATAAATTCTGATGTGCATACACTGACATGTGCACACTGACAAGTACACATGCATATGCAGCATACATATGCACTGGCACTCATATATACACATGGACATACGTAAACATATATTGGCACACACGTGCACTGAGACATGTGTGTATGCATGCATCGTGTGTGCACACACATGCTTTACGGCATATGTATGTACACTCAGATACATGCATTGACATGTACATCATGCAAGCACACATAAACACACACACACACACACACACACACACACAGGCTAACTCCTACAGGCACCTTCTCCGTGGGGCTCAGCAAATAAATGGCCTCCAAGCTGGGAATAGGTTCTCGCCGTTTGTTGATGTCTTCCACAACTAAAAGCAACAGAGGATGAGACACACATAGGCGGCATGGAGAAAAAGGCAGGGGAGTCTCAGGTTTACAGAAGTGGACCCATGGTAAGGGTGTTTTAAAGGGCTGTACTACTACTCCCTTGGATTCCTAAACAGAAATATATACCTAAGATTCCCCCAGTTAAAGAGCTACAGAGTCAGGGTTCTGCACATCTGAAGCAACACAGCCATACCCTTGAGTCTACAGACTCTTGAGAACCCAGAGTCACTGGGCAATGGGTCACACCTTTAATCCCAGCACTCAGAACGTGGAGGCAGGAGGATCTCTGTGAATTCTAGGACAGCCAGGGCTACACAAGACAAGAGAAATCTTGTCTTGAAAAACAAATGGAAGTAAATGAGTAAATAAATAAATGAGAGAACCCAAAGTTCACCCAAGCTTCTTACAGAGATACCAGTATGGGGTGCACAGTCATTGTTTTATTTGTTTGTTTGAGACAGGATCTCACTTAGCCCAGGCTGGCCTTGAACACACTAGCTGACTAACTGAACTTCTGATCCTCCTGCTTCTACCTCCTGAGTGCTGGGATTACAGACACTTGCCACCCTGCCCATTTGATATGGCACTAGGGATCAACCTTTGTTCACTGTCGGCAAGCACTCTGCCAAAGGAGCTACATTCTCAGCCCAGCGGGGTGAGTTGGTTACAGTCAATGAGGCTGACTCTTTAGGGGGTGCAATCAGGAATGCAGAGGATGCACATGGTCATATGCTGAACCAACCTGAAGGGATCCCACAGTTAAGGCTATACCCAAAGGACCCACATTCAAGAGACCCCACACTCAGGTTCTATCTGGGGACCACGAGGGGGGGCAGGCATCCACTCACTGGTGATGCCCTCTGCCAGGATATCTGACATTTTACAACAGGACGACAAGATCCGCATGCTTGGGTGATCCATGATGAGCACCTGTCCAGATGGATGGACACACAGACACAGAAAGGTGAGCCATGCAAAAAGGGCCTACAGCTGGCCCCACAAGGATCAGAGCGAGTGGGGTACCCATCCACCCAACCGAATCCCAGTGGACCAAAGGCTTCTACAAGGAATTCTTGAGGGGACTCTCACATTCTGGGGTTCCTGCACAGACTGGGTAAAAGACTACCTCTGGGTACCAAGACATTGTGCCTCGGCCCTACCTTCCACTCGCCATCCTTCTTAACACTCCGGATAACGCCACTTAGAATTTCTACAGGGAAGGAAGAAGGGGAGAAGAGGGCTTGGGACACTTGTCCTCTGACCCCAACCAGGATCCTGCATGACAGCTCCTGGCATCACCTTTAATTTACAGATATTCAAACTGAAGTTCTGTGAGGTCAGGCAACTTACCCAAGCACCCTCATGTCTAGATGGAACAATGCTCAGAACAGAGATACATCTTAGAGAACTGAATGAATGGAAGTAAGGGCCTCCTGGTGTTCCTTGGACTAGAAGGCTTGGTTCCCAGCTCTGAGGATTCTCATCAGCCTCCAAGCCCGTTTCCCCCATCTCCCACTAACCCTTGCATAGGCAAGGTCCTTTCTAACACCGACGTATCGGACCGTTCCACAAAGCCTGTTCTGCCCAGAGGAAGGCGTAGGGGAAAGGGGAAAGAAAGGTAGCCTTGCCCAGGGCCTGGCCAGTGCACCAAAGTGTCGAGTCCACTGTTATCAGGCGGAAGAAGCAGCTGAGGCCGGAACTACTGGAGGTGGGGGAGGGGAGTCCTCAAACCCTCTTCTCCCCACCAAGAACCTGAGCCTGAATGGCAGAGAAGCCAATCTTCAGTTGCAAGGAGCTCCTAGATATGATGCAAAAAGGAGAGCACCCACTTCTCCACCTCCCTGGGGAATGTGCACACCACCTGTGTGCTCACAAGCTACTTGAGGTCGCTGACCAAGGCACTGTAGGACCTCCCGAGTCCAGCCAATGAACTTTCCGGGTTAAGACACTCAACAGCCTGTAGCTGGAGCAGGCCCAGACGTCTAGACTCGAGCATGTACCTCCCTCTCCTTGATCCCTTGAGTCCTCCGCGTCCTAACTTTGTTCCACCAGCTGCATTTGAGGGGCAGGCAGCCCAGCTGGGCCCAAGTCCCCCGCCCGTCCCATCAAGAGTCAGGTGCTCTCCCCACCGTCAGGGTCCTGGGATCCCAGAATCCGCGCACCGCCCCTCTCCCGAGGCCTCCGGTCCCCCAAAGGACAACCGAGGGAAAAGCAGAGCCCCGCCCTGGGGTGACACTCACTTTCCCCCACCACCGCCTTCAGCCCCGAGGGCGCCATCTTCCCCTAAGGAGTAAGGCCGCTTCCGGGTTGGTCCCAAGGTGGGGGCGTGGCCCCGCCCGTCATCCACGTGGGCCCCACCCCGCGGGCTCGGACCACACCCCCTGCGCACCTGGTCCCGCCCCGCGATCATCGGTTCTCTCCCCGCCTCCAGGAAGTTGAGTCCCAGTGCAGCAGGTGCACTGACAGGGTCTCAGACCGGCAGTCCCCAGTTTGTGTGCGCCTTGGAGGAGTCCTTCATGGGAGTGTTCCCTAGCTCACACATACTGAGATCAGTTTGCTCAGCGCGATGACAGCACTGTAAAAATACCCATCTCACCTAGATATCAGGACCATCCTGTCCAGAAGTTCCATCTGTGATTATAGTGTGCCCACTCAAAGGACAACCGGGCCTTCTAGATCTAGAACTGTTACAACTGCCTTCTGTAATCCAAAGACTAGTAACACCAGACTGGGCAATATCAGGTAGACTCCGGAAGCCTGGAGACCCCACCATGTACTATGTACTTTTTCTATGCAGTTTTCTCACAGTCTGATCATTCTGTGAGAAACTCATGCTGAAACAGAAACATAAGACCCGGGGGCTGTGACCATGTATCTGTGCCTGTTCATGAAGAAATGCTTCCCAGCCTTTTATATCAGCATATATGATATTTTCTTTTTTAAATATTTTTTATTTATTATATACACAACATCTGCCTTTATTTCCATATGTATCTGTACACCAGAAGAGGGCACCAGATTTCATTACAGATGGCTATGAGCCATCATGTGGTTGCTGGGAATTGAACTCAGGACTTCTGGAAGAGCAGACAGTGCTCTTAACCTCTGAGCCACCTCTCCAGCCTCCATGATATTTTTTTCTTCTCTTTTTTTTGGTTTTTTCGAGACCTGGTTTCTCTGTGGCTTTGGAAGCTGTCCTGGAACTAGCTCTTGTAGAACAGGCTGGTCTCAGACTCACAGAGATCCTCCTGTCTCTGCTTCCCAAGTGTGCCACCACTGCCTGCCTGTACATATTTTTATGCATGCATGTAATGTATGTTGGCCATTCATCCTTATTCCCCTCTTATGTTCCCACTTCCCTTTCCAGCTAGTCCCAAAAGGAGATCCCTGGCGCAGCTTGGGCTCCCTCCTGGACCCTGAATTATGCCCAAATCATACCCAAACATCTGTTTCCACCGAGATCCTTTAAGTGGGGAAGAAAAGATAAAGCAGCTCCTTTCTGACTCAGGAAGAAAGCAGCAACAAATGACATCATGGATATCATGGATGTAATTTTTCAGAGGGGAAAACAGAGAGGTCTGTGTTAGGATGGGCTAGGATGCAGGGGCATTTTTTGATGGGGCATGTTAATTAGGTGGACCAAAGGGCCTTTTGATTGCTGGACTTTGGTGCACATACTCAGGAATGAGTCTGGCATAGGAAAGTGTCCAAATAATCTAATGGTATTTAGCAAGACAGAGGGAACAGGGAAGAAGAGCAAGGCCTGCCAGTCATGTGCTTAAGTGGGCTAGTGTCCCTCTTCTACCTGTATGTGTATGTGTGTCCCGATGGGTTTTAACTGGGGTTGCTTACAAGAGCATTAGCCAACTTCCCAGTGGCTACATCACTGAAGAAAATGTCTCCCTCTCCTTCAGGAAACATTAACTTCCAATAGTTCTGAGCCTGTGACAATCATATCCAGCCAAATTCCTCCCCCACTCCCCCAGATACCTCCCATTACATATCCCTCCCACTTCATGTCTTCTCTTGTTTTATTTTGTGTGTTTTGTAACCCATTGTGTCCAGTTAGTGCTGCCTACTGGAATTTTGACTGACACGGTTGGCCTGATCTTGTGCAGGTAACACCTTAGTGCAGGGACTTCATGAATGTAACAGCATGTCATGTCCTGAAGACAGCATTTTATAGCACTTCCTCCTCCTTTCACATTTGTCCTGCCCCTCTCTTCCATATGTTTTCTGAGCTTTGAGTAGATTCCTACTTCTTTAAAAAAAAAAAAAAAAAAAAAAAAAGCATGTGGGGGGTGGTGACTGAGGATCAAAGCCAGGGTCTCACATGTACTAGGCAAGCACTTTACCACTGAGCTACATACAACTCCAGCTGTTACAGTCTTAGTATATCAAGAACCACACACACAGACTGGGAGGTGGTGATGCACCCCTTTAATCCTAGCACTTGGGAGACAGGCATGTGGAGTTCTGTGAGTTCGACACCAGCCTGGTCTACAAGGGCAAGTTCCAACACAGCCAGAAATACACAGAGGATACCCTATCTCAAAAAACCAAAACCAAACAAAAAGAATCACACAGGGTGACAATTGATTGCATCTGTGTGCCTATTTAACACATCAAAACGGACCTGGCCACCAGGTTCTCCCAGCATCCTTCAGTCCCTACCTGTTACAGGGCCCTCCTGGCTGGCATGCCCCACCCCCTCTCCAGCCCAGGGGCTGGGCTGGCCTTCCCTATGTAATCCAACCATTTCAGTTACCCACCCTCTGACCTTCGGGCCTCCTGGCTGCTGCATCTGGTTCCCACCTCTCCTCCCTCTTCCCCCCCCCCCTCCACACATGGAAGAGCTCAGTCTGGTCATGTCCACTCTGGACTCTCCCAGATGTCCCTGTCCCTGACAATGGCTATGTCGTCCCACATATCTACAATAAACCTTCTCTTCCATCATACATAGGAGCAGTCATGTTCCCTTTCTCACCCTCTTTATTTATTTATTTTCATTCAGAATGTTTAAAGCAAGCTGTATTTTGAGGCGTACCAGGGCCTGACAAGTCCGGCTGCTTCTCCCTAAATTGAGATTTTGGAGAATGGCCCCTGGCCGCCTCTTGAGGTCGCTCTTACAGGAGAGAGGTGTTCACAGGCGTGTCACACATTGTTAGAAAGGTACAATGAAAGGGAGGGAACAAGTGTGAGGATATACGTCACATGAATAGGGTCACAAGTTTAGTGCAGGTTGAAAACATGTTTTCCAGAAACAGGAACTTATTCTTAACTATAAATAGAAACCTTAACTTGCAAGGACTTAAACACACAACAAACAGCAACTTATTCTTTCACTACAAACAGAAACCTTAACCTGCACAGGACAAACTTATTCTTAACTGTCTTAACTGCAAAGAGAACCCTTAACCTACAAGGTATATCATTCCTGCTTTGGTTCCACATTAACTTTCAAGGTATATTGTTCCTGGTTTGGTCTCACAGTTGCTTGAGCCTGGGTGTCCTTACGTAACTCTGGCTGACCTGGACATTCCTAAGTAGTCCAAGTTGGCCTTGAACTTGAGATCTTCCTGACTCATCTTCCTGAGTGCTGGGTTTACAGATATATGTGTCAAAGGAAGTGGACAGTGTTTCTGGCAAGGGAGTTGTCCTCTGACCTACACACTTATGTACACACACATGCACCTGCAGACATATGAGTATATGCACACACACACACACACACAGGTTTTTTTTTTAATGGCCTTGAGTTGGCACGATGGCTCAGTGGAAAGTGCTTGTTGTGCAATTCTAACAACCTGTGTGAGATCCCAGGAATTCACATGAAGGCGAAAGAAGAGCTAACCCCCACACAACAATAAATGAATAAAAATGCAAATGGCCTTACAGCCACTGGACATGGTGGCACACTCAGGAGGCAGAGACTGGAGTGTCACTGCAAGTTCAAGGTCAGCTTGATCAATAAGCTCTAGGCCAGCTGGGGGTGCATTGCAAGATCCTATCTCAAACAAACAAACAAAAACCCAAAGCTGGTTAGCTTATACAGATGAGGACACACAGAAAGAGTACCATGCGTTTACATAGGCAGGAACCCAAGGGCAGCAGCTGCCAGCTAAGGAATCCCAAGACCAAAGGTATGGAGAGGCAAGGAAGAATGCCCCCACTCCTGGGCCTCAAAAGGAATATGGCCTCCCTAACCTTTATTGACACAATAAATTCCTGCAGCTTTAAGCCATCTTACGAGGGACACTCTGCTCCAGCAGCCCTTAGGAAGTGCAGACATTCTACAATGAATAGGACACCATACTGTTTACTGAGGACTGGGGCCTGGATGGTTGTGGCAGAGCTAGGGCAGGTGGTAAGGGTGCTGGTTCGAATCGCTTCAGGAGGGTGTGAGGACTAGTCTTGGTTGCTGACACACATGGAAAAAGAGAACTACAGTTAAAAACTGCCTCCCATCAGACTGGCCTGTGCAAATGTCTATGGAGACGTTTTCTTGATTGCTGATTGATATGGTGTGTTCAGCCCACTGTGGGAAGTGCCATCCTTGAGCATGTGAGCCTGGATGTAAAAAAAAAAAAAAAAAAGAGCTGGGCTCTGGTAGCATCAGAAGGAAGGATGAGTTCTAGGACAGCCAGGACCAGGGCTGGAGAAATGGCTCAGTAGTTAAGAGTACTTTCTTCTCTTCCACAGAGCCCAGGTTCAATTGCCAGCATCCACACGGTGTCTCGCAACCATCATAACTCCAGTTCCAAGGGATCCAATGCCTGCTTCTGACCTCTCTTGGGCACCTCACATATGTGATGCACATACATGCATGCAGGCAAAACACCCATACACATAAAATAAATATAAAAAATACATTTAAAGCCAGGATGTTCGATGCCAAGACAGTCTAGCTGAATCTAGGAGCTCAAGGTTTAATTTTTTCAGTCTGTGTCTTGAAAGAAGGTAGAGATCGAAAGAAGGAGATACCTCATGTGTACCCTCTGGTCTTCACAAGATCATGCACACACCACATGTGCACACATACACTAAATATACAAAGCCCACCCACTCACCCCCAAAAGAAGAAGAGTAACTTTTAAACTTTACTTATTTGAACTTTTAAAAAGGTTTGTTCTATTTTAAGTGTGTGGGTGTTTTGCCTCCATGTATGTCTGTACACCAAGAGTTTGCCTGGTACACAGGGAACTAGAAGAGGGCAATAGATCCTCTTGAACTAGGGTTGCAGATGATTGTGAGCTGCTAGGTGGGTGCTGGGAATTGAAGAGCCCGTGCTCTTACCCAGGAGTCTGCAGTTCTGGAAAAGCCTAACTTTCCTGAAAGGCTCTTGGAGACAGGACCAGGCTCTCAGGGCACAAAGCCACAGCTGTTTGCTGGGGTAGACGGGGACTTCCTCTCCTGTTCCATGTGGGAATGAGAGACCGAAGATACTCAACTAGGCCTTTGAGGGACAGATGGATAGGAGAGCTGAGTTTCTCTCAGGGTGGCCCTGGGGGCACTACAAGACCTCAGGGGTGGTGAGTAGCCTGAGCCAAGTTGACTTGTGTGTCTGTGGAGGGTGCAGGACTTTGAAGAGGACTTGTAGACCCCCAACTCCCTCCTTGGCTATCCTCCTACAGATGCCACGGGCCCTGCAAGGGGATGAACCTACAGACAGGAACTGGATGGCTTGGGCAGGGACGTCCTGGAGGCTCCACCCTCCTGTTGGTTGTTCTTCAACATTGCACTGGCTTCTTCCTGGCCCCTCTTGAGAGTCCTCGAGGCCCTGTGAGTATGGCTGTGCCCAGTGAGGTCCTAACATGGACTGCCCTACTCCCTTTACCCACACCCACCTCAGCATCAGTCTGGATGAACAATTACCTAGAGATCATCTTTCTGGGGCTTAAGCGTGGGTGGTAGCAGATGGGATGTGAGCTGGGGATTTGGGGATGGGGAAAGGTATCTGCCTCCTCTTCCCCCACATCCTGACCTTTTAAAAGGCCCTGTCAGGTGTGGGGGACCTGTCACAGGCCAGGAGGAAAGTGTGGTAGAGACACATGATGGACCAGGAAGAAGAAAGGGGTGAGGGGGGCGCAGACCTTCTGGACAAGGTAAGAGGGCTCTGTCTGACTCTACCACCAGCTTCCTGAGGTCTCAGCACCCGTGACTGACAGGATCACTTCATTTGTAGGGCATCTAATTAGTAAGCAAATCTCTGGGGTTCCCTGACCCAGTTACCGTAACACATGGGGGGTATAGTAGGAGGGTATAACTGCCCTCCCCCTGCCCAGGGCAAATGGATGGATTCTTAATACTGCCCCCCCCAAGAGATAGTAGGTGCTATGATTTAGGGGCACTTCTGAGCCCCATTTCCCTGGAAGTGCCCAACCCCCAAACCATCCCCATCCTGGTCTTGATCTAGGACAGGGGTGGAATACTGTCTCTAGAGGCAGTACCTTGTAAAATTGTGCTGCAGGCTGGGGCCCCAGGCTGGGAGGTGGGGGGTGGGGGTGGGGGGGTAGGGGTAGGTCAGGGAAGGAGACTCATGTTTCATTTGGAGCAACTCTACAGACCTGTGAGGACTATGGTGAGAGCAGAGATGGGAAGGCAGGCACCAGTTCAGGTGGGAGCTGGATGGAAGACAGCAACGGCACAGCATCCAACTAAACCAAGCATATCTGTCCCCAAGGCAGGTTCACCGGACCAGGAAGGCTTCTTCAACCTGCTGAGCCACGTGCAGGGCGATCGGATGGAGGAGCAGCGCTGTTCCCTGCAGACTGGTCCAGGCCAGACCCCAGAAAGCCGTAAGCTGGACATGTCGCAGGACTGGGGTGGGGTGCTGCCTGAGACACAAATGTGCCAGGGGTGAAGGGGTTCTGAAGTTCTGTGATCCGTGGGAGTCAGGGTCAGGAGCACTATGTGACCTCCTCTGGAGTCCGTATTCGTGACCACCTGTCTCTGCTCCAAGCAGAGGGTGGCTCTGCTCCAGAGATGGACAACCTCATGGATATGCTGGCAGACACCCAGGGCCGCCGCATGGACGACCAGCGGGTAACAGTCAATTCCCTGCCTGGCTTCCAACCTATCGGTCCCAAGGTAGGTGATGTCTAGATAATCTGTAGAGTGTAGCAATATAGCTCTGTAGGTCTATGCCCCATCTCCAGCCAAGATAGGGTGGGACCCTGTCTCTACACATCTTCTACACGTCTTGAACTCTGGAAAAGGAAAGTGCAGGTGGATGTTAGAGGAGCTGAAGATCATGGAGGGCTCATTCCAGTATCAGAGGCACGGCAAAAGGTTAAAGCCCCTGCTATATCTGTGTATCTGGGAGAGGGGACAGGGAGAAAATAGGCAGTTTTCCTATGGTGATGCTGCTGGGAGGAAAGCATATGAGCTCACACATCCACGCATTAACATTGGTTCTGTATTGGTGTGTTTTGTTTTATTGTTTTTGAAATAGGGTTTCATGTAGCTCCAGGTGACCTCAAATGCACAAGCCAATGATGACTTTAGACTTTTAATTTTCCTATATGTACCTCCTAGGTGCTAATGTTACTGGTGTGAGCCACCAAGAGCATCTGTGTGGTTGGGGATGGAATCCAGAACTTTGGTGCACTCTCTGTCAACTGAGCTGTACTCCCAATGCTGTGTTTGTGTACACTAGCATACATGTTACAGGTCCACTTGCCAGAAGTCAACCTCAATAATGTTCCTCAGGCGCCATCACCTTGTTATTTGAGACAGGATCTTTTGCTGCCCTGGAACTCATCAAGTAGACCAGGCTCTCTGGCCAGAAAACCCTAGAGATCCCCCTGACTCTACACATGCACTGAGATTACAAGTGCATAAGGCCACATCTGGCTTTTCACTTTGGGGTTGGGGAATAAACTCAGGTCTTCATGTACATATAACAAGGATTTTAATGACTGAGTTATCCCCTCAGCACATTTATTTGTTTGTTTTTGAGTCAGGGTTGTGAGCTTGAAATTTTCTGTGTAGACCAGGGTGGCTTTGAACTTGAGATAATTCTCTAGCCTCTTCTTGAATGTTGGGATGACGGGTGTAAACCAATAGCCCAAGTTCTGATCAAGAACCCACTGAGAGCTGACCATGTCACACCAAATACAACCCTGATTGACAGACAAAGGCAGACAAAAAAAAAAAAAAAAAATGTTGTTTGAAGGCACCTCTGGCTTGTACTTTCTTGGTCTCCTCCCTCTTTGACTCTTCTTCATCCACAGGATGGAATGCAGAAACGACCTGGGACTCTCAGCCCTCAACCCCTGCTCACCCCTCAGGACCCTGCTGCACTTGGCTTCCGCAGGAACAGCAGCCCCCAACCCCAGACACAAGCTCCTTGAGAGTTCTAGCCATCCTGGGCCCCCAGACTGGCCCCTGAAAACAACAATAAAACACTTGGCACTAGTAACGAAGAATTGAGTGTGTGTTATTTCCTGGGTGGTGGGGCTGGGGACTTGAGAATTTGGAGGTCTCAGGAGCTCTGCTGAGAAGCTTGAAGAAGTCTCTCTTCCCTCTGCTTCCGGATCTTCTGTTTGAATTCTTCTAGCTCCTGGCGCTGGAATGAGGAAAGGGTTGTGATGGAAAGGAAGGAGGGGTACACACCTCAGGGCCTGGACTTACTCCCACTACCCTCCCTTTGGCTTCAGAGTTCAGTATCCATACTGGAACCCCATGCCAATCATAACCACCATGCCAGTGAGTTCAGCTTCGTCCTTCAGAGAGAAGGTAATATATGAAATTTGTGTCCTCCCCACTTTTTAACACAGGGTCTCACATACCATAGGCTAGCCTTGAGCTCACTATGCAGCAGAGAATATCCAGAATTCCCAATCCTCCTGTATCCATCTCCTAAATATTGGAATTACAGCCCCCTCTTCCCCGCTCCCTCTCTCTATCCCTATACAGCCCAGGCTGGTTTCAATCTGATAATCCTCCTACCCTTGCTTCCAAGTGATCACAGGTGTATACCATCACAAACAGTAAGAAATATGCATGGAAACGAGGTCTCTAGCTCAGGATAGCCGGGAACTCCTATTCATTTTCTGTTTCCAATTTCCTATCTATGGCTGAGGGTGAAATGTATTTCGAGCCCCCTGGAAGAATGGGTTACTTACCTGATCCTCCTTCTCTCGTGGCCACAGCTCCCTCTGTGGGACAAAGTCACAGGTGAGAACACAAGCCAGAGGAATCCAGAGTCCAATATGCAGCACAGGGCTGACTCATGGGAGGCAGGCAGTGGTCCCCAGCACCAAATCCGTGCCTCATACCCTGCTTTCCCCATCCCTAGGAATGATCCAGCAAGCACTCTCCTGATACCCACCTTGCGCTGGATAACATAGTCTTCAAACCACTCTGCCTGATTGGAGATCCAGAACATAACGACGGGGAAAGTGAGATAGAGTGACATCTGCAAAAGCAGAATGGATGGACAGGGCCCAGAACTGTCACCACTCTAGTACAGGGAGATTACAGGAGAGCCCAAAAGACAGATCTATCCTCCTACACAGGCCGGGATCCCGGTCTCCGTGCCTCCCTAGGAACCCCAGAAATCCTACCAGAACGCAAACCAGGCACCTTAAAGCCTGGCCTTCATGATTCAGCAAGCTTTATTCGTAATAGTCCTGTCCAAATCTCATTCTCAAACACACACACACACACACACACACACACACACACACACACACAGGCACAAAGCCGCGCGGGGGTGGAGGACGGAGGAACGGGAAAGACCAACAGTCCAAGAGCTCCTACTACAAAGACATCCTTGAGACGTTATTACCTCCCAACCTGATCTTCGAAGCATTTCAAATAGAGGGGCCTCATTTTTTCAATCATATTCTCCTACATCTAGGAGTAACCCTATCTGAGGCCCATTATGAGCCGAGGGATCTCCTTCTGGAAATGCCGCTCTGGATCTAAAGCCTCCCTTCACCCGTCTCTGAGACGCTTCCTCTGACCAAACCCAGACTCTCCATTCTAAGTCCCCACATCTAACGCTCCTTCCGCTGAGGATCCGATACACAGCTCAGATACTTTCTCCGTGGAACTCCCCACTCTGCACTTCTCTCGCTTCCCAGATCTATTCTCAAATTCAGAAAGAGCCTGGGTCCAGACGTCCAACACACTCCTGAGTTCACTGACCCGAAACACCTCTAGCTTCACCCCCATCTCGCTTGTCCGGCTCTACGAAGCCACTTCCGCCCAAAGGCGACTCTCCAGCAGTGCGAAATCTCATTGGTGCATCTCAACAACCAATACTGAAGCTCAGTGGCCAATAACCGGTTGGTGGTGACGTCATCTTATGGCGCCCCTTTCTGCTTCCGGTCACAGCCTCGACGATACAGGTCTGGCCGGAGAGGGCGGGCCTTCTGTGAATGACGCCATCAGAGAACGACTCTCGTCTGTACCTGGAGAGCCAGGAAGATGGTGGTGATGGCGCGAGTTCCGCGTCCCGAGCGGCCGGATCTTGTTTTTGTAAGTCTGCGGCGAGACCAAGGGTGCTCCTCGAGGGAAGGCCCGAAGCTAGATTCTTTCTAGGATCGGAATCTGGCTCTTGGGACTTTAGGCCCAGACTGTGCATGTTAATCCATGGGGACACTAGCGAGTCTAAGGCGACATGTCAAAACACTGACCAGGCTGGGATTAAAGAACCGGATTCTTCGTGGCCTGAGTGAGGAACTGCTATTGAGGTTAAGGCCTTGATGTCTCGTGCCGGAAGAAGTGAGGTCAAGAGGGGAATGGGATAGCAGGGAAAGAAACGGCATGGATGTTGATAGGCATAGTGGCAAGGTTAGAGTTGTGGCTTCTGGATAGCACCTTGGTTTCTGGGGCTACAAGAACCTTGGAGTATGTAAAAAGACTAGTGATGCAGATGGCCCCTGGAATCCTAAAAAGGTGAAAATTCGGTGGCTGAAATACAGGCCCCATATTTAAACCGCGTTCATAGTGTTCTGGGTTAAGGGCCATAACCGCACTGTGTGTTTAACCAAGGGTCTCGTGCATGCAAACCAAGCACTCCACAATTGACCTATACCCCCACGCGCGCACATGTGCACCCCACTTCCTGAGAGAAAATCCTTTAGTTTGCAGTGTCTGGGATAAAGTTGAGCTCAAGTACAGGTTAACGGGACCCAGAAGGACCAGAAGTTTGATGAACTAGGTGGCTTAAGTAAACATTTAGTCACGTGGGCCTGAGGAGGCGGTGCAATCAGTAATGTGCTTGCTTGTTATATAAGCGAAGGGCCTCAGTTCAGGGCCCTAGCACCTACATAAAATGCTAGTGAGATCCTGTCTCAAACGTACGGTGGAGAGCAATTGAAGAGGACCTCTGGCCTCTGCCAGCACCAGCTCCCACGTGTGTGTTCATGAATGTATACACACACTCAAAAATTATTTTCGTTTTGTTTGAGATAGTATCTCACTATGTAGCCCTGGCTGGACTGGAACTTACCATATAGATCAGCCTGCCCTCGCACTAATAGAGATCCATCTGTACCTGCCTCCTAGAGGAGGCTAGAAGAAAAAAGAAACTAAAAGCATTAAAATTTTGGGCCAGGTATGGTAGCACATACCTTTGATCCCAGCATTTGGGAAGCAGAGGTAGGCAGATCTCTGTGAGTTTGAGGTAAATGTGGTCTACAGAGTGAGTTCTTGAAAAATGAGACCCTGGCAGGTGTGTGTGTGTGTGTGTGTGTGTGTGTGTGTGTGTGAGAGAGAGAGAGAGAGAGAGAGAGAGAGAGAGAGAGAGAGAGAGAGAGAGAGAGAGGCTTCATTATCTGGGCCTGGTGTGAAGATATGGTGACGGTATGAGCATGGGGAACAAAACCCTAATGTCTGGGAAGAAGTGTGCTGTAAGTAGATACAACTTGCTGTCCATGGCAAAGGCTTGGCAGCTGGAGCTGTGCCCTGGTGCTGTGTGAGTCTGGAGATTATGGGGAATGCAAGGGAGAGGATAATGGGTGGCGGAAATATGTGTGTATGAAATTGCCAAAGAATTTTTTAGAGTGTGGTGATTGGGACCAGGGAGTGGGCAGTAGGATTTGCTGGCTAAAGCTCATGTCTGGGCAGGGGTCTCATTAAACACCAGCGACCAAGAAGTCTGTGTGGACATTGAGCTCTGAGGGCCAGAGGCCTGAACTAACACTTGTAGCACAGTGGTTCTCAACCTTCTTAGTGCTGTGACCCTTTAATGCTTTTCTTCATGTTTTGATGACCCCCAACCATAAAATTATTTTCATTGCTACTTCATAACTAGTTTTTTGTTACTGTTATGAATCACAGTGTAAATGTGTTTTCCAATGGTTTTAGGTGACACCTGTGTAAGGGTTCTTTGTCCCCTCAAAGGGGTCGCAACCCACAGGCTGAGAAACACTGAGAAAACTGGTAATCCAGTTTCAACAGAAGAAGAAAACATGCCTGGGACCTTGCTATTTTGTGTTTCTTTGCCTGTTAAAGAATTTTTTTTTTTTTTAATCGTGTTTATGTGAGCTGGGTGGTGATGGCACACACCTTTGATCCCAGCACTTGGTGGGTGGGGGGGAGGCAGAGCCAGGTGGATTTCTGAGTTTGAGGCCAGCCTAGCCTATAGAGTGAGTTCCAGGACAGGCAGGACTGTTTCACAGAAAAACCTTGTTTTGAAAGAAGAAGAAAAATCATGTTTGTATGTGTTTGTGTGGTATCCACAGAGGCCAGAGGCTGGAGTTGCAGGTAGTTCTGAGTGGCTTAACATGAGAGCAGGGAAGATGAGGATTGAGTTCAAGTCCTCTGCAAGAGCACTACATGTTCTTAACTGCCGAGCCATGTCTCCAGCCCTGTTTGTTTCCAAGTATACTGTGTTGGTAATGTGTGAATGTGTGTTGGCCAGAAATAGATGGTAGCTGTATTCCTCAGTTGCTCTCCATCCTATTTTTTAAGACAATCTTCTCACTGTACCTGAAGCTCACTGGCTGGCTAATGAGCTAAAGGGTTCTCCCTGTGTCCGCTTGCCCAGCACTGAAATTATAGATACACACTGCCATGCATGGCGTTAAATGGGTGTTGGGGATCTGAACTCAGGTAATCATGCTCATGCATACTGACTGGGCCATCTTTTGTAATTTTAGCATGTACAAGAGGTAAATCATGTGTGCCACTTGTGTGCAAGTGAAAAGTAGAGGACAGCTTATGGAATTGATTCACTCCTACCATGTGGATCAAACTTGGGTCCTCAGGCTTGGTGGCAGGTGCCTCTACACACTGGGCTTCTCACCAGCCTCCCATTTGTTTTATTCTTTGAGACCTTTTTGCCTCCGAAGTGTTGGGAGTGTAGGCTTGCACCACTGTCTTTTGGTGCTGCATGGAATTGTAGTAAAAGCCTAGAGTTTGGCATTTAAGCCCCAGTGTGGGGTGTGACTCCACTGAAACTAAGGATAGGCCTCTCTTCTCCCCTTCCCTGGCCCTGGCAGGAGGAAGAGGATCTTCCCTATGAAGAAGAAATCATGCGGAACCAGTTCTCCGTCAAATGCTGGCTCCGCTACATCGAGTTCAAACAGGGGGCCCCCAAACCCCGGCTTAATCAGTTGTACGAGCGGGCACTCAAGCTGCTTCCCTGCAGGTGCATATGGCCTTCCCCGAGCGAGCAAGCGACCCTGCTCGCCAGCCCCCACCCCTCCACATACAGTCCCACACAAGTGGTAATATGTCCCAGGTGATCGCTGTATATTCCCTTGTATCTCCTGTATATTCACAGCCCCTGATGTCCCTTCCCTCGTGTCCCAGTCTTTCCCTTCCTTGTGAGCTCTCTCACCCCTCCTCAGTCCCTTTTTGTAGCACAGTTGCCTCTAGAACAAAGGAAGGGTTCTATAAGCCATATCCATCTTCACTGCTCTCTAGCTACAAACTCTGGTACCGCTATCTGAAGGCACGCCGGGCACAGGTGAAGCATCGCTGCGTGACTGACCCTGCCTATGAAGATGTCAACAACTGCCATGAGAGGGCCTTCGTGTTCATGCACAAGGTGGGGAGCTGGGGAAGGGATAGCCAGAGGGAACTATTTCCCCAGGGAGATATAAACAGATGACTGCCCATTCCTTATAGTGCGTCCACCAAAATGTCCCACCAACTTGAGGAACTAACGAGTTTATTAGGGTTATTCACAGAGCCTGAGTGAGGGATAATGAGACCTATTGCCTCCCTGCTGCCCTTATGCCCTAGATATGGATGGTAAGCATGCCGTGGAGCTTGTGGCTCAGATCTGGCCTATCACTCTCCATTATTTCCAGATGCCACGTCTGTGGCTAGACTACTGCCAGTTCCTAATGGATCAGGGACGAGTAACACATACCCGCCGCACCTTTGATCGTGCTCTCCGGGCACTACCCATCACACAGCACTCTCGAATCTGGCCCCTGTATCTTCGCTTCCTGCGCTCCCACCCACTGCCTGAGACTGCTGTGAGAGGCTACCGTCGCTTCCTCAAGGTAAGCACCAATGAATAGCCTTGTTGCCAGATCAGCTTCCAAACCTTGGCTCACTGGCATAAGGGCCCTCATGCACCAGGGTACAGGAAGAGGCTCCTATGTATAGATAGAGTTTATTTGTGATTTATCTCTTCCTCTCTCTCCCTCCCTCCCTCCCTCGCTTTCTCTCCCTTCCTCCTCTCTCTCTCTGCTTCTCTCTTTCCCTCTCTCCCCCTTCCTCTCCCTTCCTCCCTCCCTCACTCTCCCTCCCTCCCTCACCCCCTCCCCTGTGGTGTGTGTTTTTTGCATACCCATGCATGTAGAGGCCCAAAGTTGACACTGAATATCTTCCTTAATTACTCTCCACGTTATTGAGGCAGAATCTCTTACTGATCCCAGAGCATACCAGCTAGAACCAGATTTGGCTAGTTCTAGCTAGCCCCAGCAACCCCTCTCTCTGGCTCTCCAGTACTACCATGCTACCCAATGTTTATGTGGGTTCTAAGGATGCAAGCTCCAGTCCTCACACTTACAAGGCAAATGCTCTCCCTAACCCTGTGGCTTATTATCTTTAGTTTCTAAGTAGTTAGCTTTTGGCTTATACCTTTTCCACTGTGAGCATAGAGATGAGAGCTAGGGACATCATGCATAAGGCATTTATCACCACCTGCGTAGGACTTTCAGTCTAACTGATAGACACATGCATGAACCAGCTGTGTGAAACAAGAAAACCAAAACCAGAGCCAGAAATAAGACATGTGTGCAATGGACAGCATTGCAGGCAGAGCATGTG